GGTTTAGGGGGTTTCGGGGTTTAGGGGCTTCGGGGTTTAGTCCCACAGTGATGCCCAAGCTGAAAAAGAAAAACCCAACCCTACATCCTAATTTTTCGGGTCGTTACATGGGCGCCTTAGTATGGGCCCTTAAACAGGGAACCTCTTATGTACCCCTTGTATATACCCTTTAACCCTTCGATCCAAAGCGGACAAACGGCCGAACGACCCTTGCGCCGACGAATGCAGTAGTGGCTGTACTGTCGGTGTTGACACAGAAGACGGAAGAGTGAACCTACAACAATGTACGAGATACTTTCCAACTACACGCTCAGCAAGCTTCAGCAATAGTAGCAGTCGTCAGATGGTCAAAGTTCACTGCTTAACTCGACATTACTTCTCCAGCAAAAGCCTAAACAATAAACCCTAAACTGTACACGCTGGCGCGAAGACTGCGGTAAGTCGCAGGCCTGTGCCAGCGAAGAGTGGCTGCCACCTCCCAAGGAAATTGGGACTCCAGGGGTGGAGACCGCGCATACACCAACGTTAAAGCAACTAGCTTGTTTGCAAGTAGGGCTTCGGATTGAGGGTTATATAAGAACAGACACATAGTGTGCTTCGGGAAACATACCTGGGGTTGTCTAGGGCTTTGGCATTACAGAAAGGTAGCGGAGAGCAACGACGAGAGCCCTGCGAACGGCGGTGGGAGGAGGATTCCCGATGCCGGGTCTCATAATATTCGCTCCCATCAAAGTAATATAGGGGCCTTCATAATTGGAATAGGGATTGGGGGCTGCTATAGTATAATTATAGAGGGACCATAAGATATCCGCAGGCCTTGGGCCGTAGGAGCAGTCACCCCACCTCTCATCGCCTGCCCAACACCAGCCAAAAATTTGGGTTTTCGGCATGGGTACCCCCACCCCCCCGCAACCCCACCCCGGCACCCGCCCCTCCCCAACGCCCACCCCCAGCCACTCCTTATTCGCTCCTGGCGAGCAGAGATTCCGACCCCCCTTGTTACGCAGCCGGCTAGCAGCCAAGCACGTTCTGTATCATTCTGTATCGAATGGTAGCACCACGGAGAGGGGTGAGGTGTAGTGAGGTGAGGCACAAGCCGCTCTCTCGACCCTAAACCTAAACCCTCAAGCCTAAGTATCTTGAAAGTGGGCCAGGCCAACGGCCTCGACTGTCGGACGGCAGTCGTGAGACATCCAGTTGCGACAGTTCGCGGCCCTTGGTCCATCAAGTCCCGTCTTAGCACAGTTGGGGGGCCCCAAGATGTGGGGGTTTTCGTAGGGGTACCCTTCTTGTGGGCCCCTATGAGGGAGTCTATTCTATTTGGGGTATAACACCCCTGTATTGGCAAGCCCCCATGCCAAGGATCACCCTGCCACTGTTGATGGTGCTTGATTGTATCTGGCTGATGTGCGTTGGCCTAGGCAGTTCAACTTTCAAGGCCTAACCCCCCGTCCTAAACCCTAAACCCTAAACCCCAAACCCTAAACCCTAAACCCTGAGCTTCCCAGCAAGCTTGTCTTCCAGCCCTCCTGGAAGCTTGGGACAGTGCCGCTGCCGCTGCCGCTGCCGAAGCACGTGCTACCTCTTGGTGACGATCACTCTTGAGCAGACAAACTAGATGAACGGAAAAGGCACTGGAACCTTGGGGTATCCATTTTAGGGTTTAGGGTTTAGGGTTTGGCTATCTGGAGTAGCTATTCTGTCGTGCAAGCCTCCGTGGTGGGTGCACTCGCCTCTGCCAAGCCAGCCTCAGACACTTGGGTGACTTGCGATCACGCTTGACCGCCGGGTGTCTTGGGCTCGGGGTCTAGGGTTTAGGGTTTAGGGTTTAGGGTTTCGGGTTTTGGGTTTAGGGTTTAGGGTTTACAACAGAACCTGCTGGAACAAGTAGGAGAGTCACCATTTCAGCAGATACAATAAGACAGCCAATGTTGCTTCGAACATCGGCCCCACGCTTCATGCCAATTTGTTACTACATCTACATACACATATGCATTTTCCATATACACATACATATACATATACATACATATACATATACATATTACATATTAAATGTGTATATATATATGCCCTTCAAAACGACGCTGTGGCAAGACAACTTTCAACCTGCCAAGGCTTCACTGGCGCCCGGGCCAAGTCTAAACCACCAGCCATGCAAACGGCATAGCATTCCTTGGCACAAGCCATCATCTCTCCAGCGTTGAAGACTCGAAGTTCTCGGAAGGGTCTGAGGTCTGAGGGGCTGGCCCCGTCTTTTTGCAAATTTTCATCCAGCTGCCGCCTTACCTGACGAAGCAATATAGCTCGGCTTACTACTGAAACGGCAGATACCACCGAACTCTTGCTCAGACACCCCGGCCCAGCCCCAAAACGAAGCATGCCACTTGGGCTTAGGGCGATGGTGAAGGGTTGTGGCCTTCAAGACCGTGACTTCTAGTGATTGGGAACCCCCAACCTGACCCCTGTGAGGACAACAAAATCACACGGCGAACACCACATTCAGATCCCTTCTCTCTTGCAAGCTCATCTGGTGGCTCTTCAAGATCATACAGCAAAAAAGTGGTGATCATCGACTCCAAGAGGGACCATCATTCTGAAAGATCTCCGGATCGCCTCGTTCACCGTCTGCCTCGTCGCGGGAGTTCTCCGCAACGCGGCCTGGAGAACAGCACGGAGATACTCCAAACTTCTGCCTTCTGCGACAGGGACGGAATCCCCTTTATCAAGAAGAAAGACGTCCATTCATGATAAGCAACCCTATATCATGTCATTCTTCCGGTCTGTTCCCAAATGAAGGAGCTCTGGGCTCCCTGGGCAGGGAAGCTGGGTAGACTTCAGGTCGCAGGAAAAGCCACGGAAGCCCCCCAGTTGGTTGAGGTGACGACTCCGTGCAGAGCGTAAAATTAGCGAGCTGAGGCAACAACAAGAAACTCAAAAAAGCACCAAAAAATCCCCAAAACCCCAAACAACAAACCCGAAACCCCAAACCCTAAACTCAGCGCAGAAATGCGCAGAAAAACCTGAACTCCGAACCTCGTAAAGCCCAACTGCCGTGAGCGTGTATGCCGCAATCGCCCAGACATGACCTTGATGTGGCTCGACTTTGTGATATCGGGCGTCGAATGCCTAAGACCCCCGAAGCCCTTGAAATGGGTTTAGGGTTTAGGGTTCAGGGTTCAGGGTTCAGGGTTCGGGGTTCAGGGTTCAGGGTTCAGGGTTCAGGGTTTAGGGTTTAGGGTTTAGGGTAGAGGGCTTAGGGTTTAGGGTTTAGGGTAGCAATCTGAGGTCGCCACGCCGACGGGTAAGCGCCTGCCCGCGCCAGACAGGGCGGCAGCCACCACGGCCTGTCCGTGGGGTTCAGGGTTTAGGGTTTAGGGTCTAGGGTTTAGGGTTTAGGGTTGGTTGGGGTTTGAGGCGTTTAGGTTTAGGGTTTCGGGGGTTGGGTTTTCTGGTGTTTTTTGGGGGTTTGGGGGGTCTGGGGGGTTTAGGGTGTTTTGGGTTTTTGGGTTTTTTGGTTTTTTTTGAGTTTTTCGGGTTTTTTGGGGTTTTGGGGGTTTGGAGTTCAAGGGTTTAGGTGGCTTGGAGCATTAAACCTGTGAAGCCCTAAACTCATTGAAGCCCTTACAAACCCTTACACCCTTGAAAAGACTTGGGCCATGTTTCTCGTGCAGCCCGCTTCGGTTACACCCTCTTTGCTCAAAAAGGCCGAAAACTCATGAAACCCTAAACCCTAAACCCCAAACCCTAAACCCTAAACCCCAAACCCTAAACCCTAAACCCTGTGTGCAGGCTTACGTCCCAGCCTCCCCGGCCGACTGAGCAGACCTGCCATGAGCCACCCTCCATCTCTCGGAAGAAAACCACATCCTAACACCACCGCCGCCGCCACCAGAACCGCCAATACATGCCGACTTCAAACAGCCCCACCCTAAAATCATTCGCGCTCCAGGGGAACTCTGCTCGGATGTCTCGACGGGTGGGCTCTCTTGAGATGCAGTGGCTTGAGGGAAGTGCTCTTTGCGGCTTGCTCCGCAAATCGACACGCCAAGGAACCCTATTCCTAAACCCTAGCCCTAAACCCTAAACCCTACACCCTAAACCCGAGGGCCTAAACCCTAACCCCTAAACCCTAAACCCTAAACCCTAAACCCGATTCGCTGCGGTGTGGGGGATTCTAGGGGGCACTTCGGGGAAACTCTCTGGGATTCTCTGGGGGCGACTGGTTTCAATAGCAAAAACCTAAACCCTAAACCCCAAACCCTAAACCCTAAACCACTAGTACCATCATTAGAATGGCTGACGCTAAGGTCTTACTAGGGTGGATCCCCTCACGGCTGCAAGAATCCTCTTCAGCTCTTGCACGGCTTTTGATGGCGACTTCCACATCCCGTACGTACAGGGTGTGACACACACGCGCACATGGAAACCCTAAACCCTAAACCCTAAACCCCTAACCCTAAACCCTAAACCTAAACCCAAACCCCAAACCCGAAACTGCGATACCAGCACGCTAGCAGGGCAACCCACCTCTGCCTGCCAATGTTCTGCACGCGGCCCATGGCCGTTGCTGCTCTCTGCCTTTACTGGCTGGGCCCCTAAACTCTAAACCCTAAGCCCTAGGCCTAACCCTAAACCCTACATCCCTGAACTTAGGGTCCTGTTGTGGTACCCAAGTGCTAGGGTCCCTTTTTTTGCAGCCGGGGACCCGGGAACCAAAAGAGATATACTCGTCCTGGTGACTTCGGGGCTCAAGTATACGCACACAAATATGTGTATTCCCGTGCTTATATGCAGTATGATGAGGTACATGCACTCTACAGCAATATGGTTGAGGTTTTAGGGTGTAGTGTAGGGAGGTATTTGGGCATAGGGTAATTAGAGGGGAAAGGATGTATAAGGTTGGTCCAGAGGCCTACCTGGGTGAGATCTAGCTAGAATCTAGCTTGATCTACCTTACTGAAATTGTCTCTCGCATCTTCCCAAATCGAGGTCGGGACATGTTTGCCATGTTTGACTTGGGCGATGTGCCTGGCACATCTCTGAGCACAAAACATGTCCGCCCATCGCAGGGCTTGGGAGTTGAGGAGATTCGAAGGCTTGGAAGATATGCCCGACCATCTTGCCGAGGCTTGCACGACCATGTGGAGACGAGGCACGTGGTGAGGAAGCTGATCCACGCGAGAAGTGCGGTGAGTGACCTGCATGGATTCACAGCAAGCAAGGATGTCAACCCGCGCAAGCTCTCGTCCTGCAACGCACAATGTCTCAACATCCATGGCCTGGCTCCTCTCGGGATCGCTCACGAATCTCTGCGCGATCCAATCCGTTTATGCCAATCCCACCCTGCAAGAGAGCCAGGGCTGGCAAGTTGCGTGCACTCGTGCGCAAATGTGCACCTCCACGTCCACGTCAGCGCTGCTCTCCGTCAGCGGCCTTTCACTGTTCACCCCAAACTTGAAACCCCTAACTAATTAAACCCTAATTAAACCTTGATTACCCCCCACTTAAGCCCAAATTAAAACCCCTAATGAAACCCTAAACCCTCTCGAACAGAACTTCTTTGTGGCACCTCCGGAAGGTCGTCAAAGCACCCCGGCCACCGACCTGCACGTCGTGCTCTCCGAGGAAGTAAGAAAGAGCAGGTTGTTTCCGGCTGAGACCAGCATGTAACATGTGGGGGTTTCCAGGGGGTACCCTTTTCGGGGGCCCCCCCTTTTAGGGGGATGCTGTTCTATTTGGAGTAGAAAGGGGTCCCCCTGTTTTGGGAAAGACCCATGTGTGCGTGCGCCCGAAACAAAAAAGGTTTTGATCGTGCGTGCGCGCGTGCGTGGATGTGTCCTATACTCACTGGGCTCGCCGAACCTGTGCTCATTGTCATGCGGCACAGCAAAAAAATCGCATCTTTTCTGTAGGAGAAACACTCTAAACATCTCCAAGCCCTCAAGCCCTAGGGCCCTAAAGGCTCAACTGTCCCGCAACGCCTCCCCCCCCCTATCTCAAGCCTCCATGGCCGCCTGGCCGTCCGCACGCGCAGCGCGCTGCAGATGGCGTTTCAGGCCCGAGGCCGCTCCCGAAAACAAAATCGGGCCCGATAAACGAAAAGCATCTACAAGCCCTACTCGACAAGCCCGGCCCCCCGAAAAAAAAAAAAAGAAACTATGGACTCTATAAACCCCTAAGCCGGCCTATTGAGTGCTGAGCTGTCGGCGAAAACAAGTCGCTGCGGTAATACTCGAATGCTCCCTAGTCTGGCAGTGGCTTGCATGCACACAGAGATGTGTTGTAGTCAAAGGCTGCGGAAGAGCGATCACAAACATCGAGAAACCTTGGCGTGTGTCGGGAGCAAATGCGCATGGAACTAGCTGGTTCATGACCTGCTGGCCCACTTTTGCTGCCGCTTCTTCGCATGAAGCTTGCACCGCGTTTGACAAACAGTTTAAGCTTTGACACGCAAGTCGTGAACTATTGATTTGCATTGTCAGCTGGGTCTGAGACCTGGAACAGAGAACTTAGGGTGACAGCCGCAGTCCTCCAAGAAGACTTGGGTTGCTTTCGCTCATCTTGCGAAGTGCTGAGCTGTGACTATATGCTGCAACGATGGTTCACACTGCGAGCCGTCACTCTTGCGAAGTTGCCTCCGCTATGACTGGGACCACTGCCTCTGTCGCCGGCTCAGGAGTTTCAGGGGCGGCTGGTATGACCTGGCAGCGGAACTTCCCACCTCTTCCCCTAAGCCTAAACCCTTGACCGGCCTAAACCCCAAACCCGCAGTGCCTTCGGCGAGCTTTGCATCGCTTCCCTCGTCTCCGGAGAAGTGCGGTAGCTTGGCATGACCTGGCAGGACAAAAGCTTTCCGCATCCCAAAAGATTCTAAGCAATCCCGCCAGCCCTGAACCACAAAACAAAAAACACTATACTATGATATAATAGTGATATATATATATATATACATATATATGATTTTCCGTGTGTCACTCTCAAACTCTTGATTTCTACCCTTTTTCTCAGGGCAGTTCTGGTCCTTTTTACAAGGGTGCCATAGTCTACAGGGAGACCCAAAAAGGCACGCCAAGCCCTAAACCCTCTCTCTTCAGGGAACTACCTTGGGATGTTCCCCCTTATACTAACAGTCCGTAATAGGGATTATAAAAGGGATACTCTAATCCCGAATAATCCCCATTAAGGACTGTTAGCATGAGGGGGGGCCCTCCCAAGAACCCTAAACCCTAAACCCTAAACCCTAAACCCTAAACCCTAAACCCATTGACTCAAGCTAAGGTTGGCCAGCAGCACAACGAACTTGCTCGGAGCTCTGCGCTCAGTGCGCTCCAAGGAAAACTGCTCGTCCAGCGAGGGAAGCTGGAGTCCCTCAGGGTTTAGGGTTTAGGGTTTAGGGTTTAGAGTTTAGGGTTTAGGGTTTCGGGTTTCGGGTTTAGGGTTTAGGGTTTAGGGTTTAGGGTTTAGGGTTTAGGGTTTAGGGTTTAGGGTTTGGAGTGAACAAGGTAATTTTGGGTATTAGGGTCAAGTTTAGGGTTCAAGATATTTAGTGTCGGGTTTGAGGTTGTTTGGTTTGGGGTTAGGTGCTTTGCTCATTCTTGTTTGCCTTGCAGGTCATTTTCGGGGGTCCAAATTTTCGGCCGTGGGGTCGCCAAATAACTCCTACTAACCGAAGTGCGTGGCATCCGGGCCTAAACCCTAATCCCCAACCGTAAACCCCCAAACCCCAAAACCATTGAACCCCTAAACCCGAACCCGCAAACCTGAATCCCTCAACCCCTAAGCCCCCAAACCCCTAAACTCCCCAAACCCCTAAGCCCCTAAATCCCGAAACCCTTACACCCCTCAGTCCCTAAACCCTTCGGCACCTAAAATTCAAAAATCCCAGAACCCCTGAACTAAAACCCCTAATTCCTTGAACCCCCGCACGCTGACAGGCTGAGACACGCACCCCACCCCCCCCCCCCCCCCCCCCCCCCCCCCATCCCCCCACCCACACCCCCCCCCCCCCCCCCCCCCCCCCCCCCCCCCCCCCCCCCCCCCCCCCCCCCCCCCCCCCCCCCCCCCCCCAAAAAAAAAGAGATAATATGAAGGAAATTCACTGAACCGTTCAATATTGACCCCTCCCTCTCCCCATGCTATGATAGCTGCATTCCGAGCCGTGTCCGAGCCCTCCCCTGCTAAAGCAAGACTAAACCCCTACACCCTGAGATGTTCTCCCTTCCTAACACTCCTTCAATAGGGACTGTAGTAACCCCCCACTATAATCCCCATGAAGGACTCTTAGTACTCGCAGAAGGGGGAACATCCCAACCCTAAACTCAGGCAATACTCCGCTGGCTTGTGCGCAAAAATCAACCCCAATCCTTCGTCCCAAACAGCAAAAAAACAACACAAGAAGCAAGAAAAAGGGGGTTTAGGGTTTAGGGTTTAGGGTTTAGGGTTTAGGGTTTAGGGTTTAGGGTTTAGGGTTTAGGGTTTAGGGTTTAGGGTTTAGGGTTTAGGGTTTAGGGTTTCAGGGCGTCGGGGCTGCAGGGGTTGTGAATTGTGCCGTGGGCCCCCGGCCCCAATTCCCAAAGCCACGACGAAAGCCACGGCCTGGCCCGAGGGCATCTGAGGCATCCTTTAGCGTTTAGGGTTTAGGGTTTAGGGTTTGGGGTTTAGGGTTTAGGGTTTAGGGTTCAGGGTTTAGGGCTAGGGTTTAGGGTTTAGGGTTTAGGGGCTTTAAGGGCTTCTTGGGGCGTTAAGCGCTTTTTGGGGCTTCTTGGGGCTTTTAAGACGATTAGTTGTGCTGATAGGGGGGAGTGGGGAAAGTGAATGGGCACCCGTCAGTTTGTGCGGCTTGGGGCTTCAGGGGTTTGAGGTGGGACTAGGGTTTAGGGTTTAGGGTAGTTTAGGGCTTAGGGTTTACGGTTTAGATCCACCAACCCTGGCGCCGTGCTGGATGCACGCTGCACCGGAGGGCGGGTGGGGGGCGGGGGGGGGGGGGGGTTTTGGGAGGGCCCGAGGGGGGGGGGGGGGGGGGGGGGGGAGGTGCTTCGATCCACCCTTGGCTCCCTGGTGACCTTTTGCAACCCCCGACCACCTCTAAAAGCTTCAGATGTTGTGTCATGTTGTCGAGACCCCTTCTGAGGACCCTGGCAACTCTCTGTACCGCCCTGCCGTTCTTTGCACCTTAAGGGACCCCTGTTCTCTGAACCGCCTGAACCGTTTCTGCTCTGAGTTTTTTTCAAGGTGCGGGAACATCTTCCAAGCATGCCAGGGAGCACGATGACACCTCCAACAATGTAGTCTGCCCAGTTCGGCAAGGCCACTGGGGTGTTGGCCAACTGTCAGAGGCTGAGGCATCTGAGAAACCCATGCAAGTCCAATAGTTCAGTGACTAGTGCGTTTGCCGGAGCTGCCGGCGCGCCTTGTACTCGAAGTTGTCCATCCCGCGGACGAACAAGGGCAACAACTTGCGCCGGGGCTCGCTCTCCGTGCTCTCCGCACTACAGTGCTGAAACTCACAGCAAGAAAAAACCGCACGGCCCGGGGCCTTCTCGGACAGTACAGGTATGGCGGTGTCGTTCTGGCCAAGTTGTTTTCGTGCATGTTGCCCAACAGGGGTGCAGCAAAGGGGGAGGGGGGGGGGGGGGGGGGGGGGGGGGGGGGGATCGCAAAATGCCCTCTTTAGCAACAGCTGGGGTCACAGCTAGTCAGCTGCCTGTACAGCTAAGGCAGCTACTGCTGTCAAACAGCTGCATTTTCTACATGTTGTCTAGCTTCAAGCTCAAAGTCGTGTCCAGCAAGAACTGACAAAGCAGTGAGCCACATCTAATCTGCATGGGTCACTCAGTACTCAGGTCTTGCCGTATGCAGTCAAAAACTACGATCTTCCAACACCATCTGCCAAAAAAGGATGTGAAACTTGAACCACACAACCTCCGATTGGGAACCCCTCGATAAAAGGCCCGCATGAGCCTCCGCAAGAATGCGATACATGTCAGCTGTCATGGAGTCATTGAAGCGGTTCTGGAACTGGCCATGGCGGCTTCTGCTTCATGCCCGCGTTCGCACAACCCACTGTCATTACACATAATTTCATGAGCATTCTACATATACATACATATATATATATATATTTTTTTTATTTATTTATTTATATTGATATTTATTTATATAAATATGTATACATATGTACGCATGTGTATATATATATATGTGTATGTCTAGCCAATATTTTTGATATGTGGGTTCGCCTCTTCCAAGCGCTCTGTCTCCGACATCTTCAGGAGCCTCGCCCGGGAACGAGCCGACAGTGTCTGAGATTACTCAGGAGAAGAGAAAGGGTTTAGGGTTTAGGGTTTAGGATGTTTAGGGTTCAGGGTTTAGGGTTTAGGGTCTAGGGTCTAGGGTTTAGGGTTTAGGGTTTAGGGGCTCACCTGACGAATTGAGCACGCGCCTGTCTTGGCTCTCACGATCCATCCCGGGGGTATCATAGCCCCGTTTTAGATCTGGAAGGACTTAGCCGGCAAGGCAGGTGGCGAAGAGTGTTTGAATTCCGCGGAACCTTTGAGGCACCAACCCTCTGCGATCATGGTGTCCTGCACTGCAACGCCAAACAATGCATCGTTTCAAGTCGATTCTGAATCTACACCCCGAACCCTGGATAGAACACTGCATCGCGGCAAGCAGGGGTGTGTGGCAGCATGGGGGGAGGGCGGGAAGGCCCACGTCTCGGGGCTATGTTGTGGGAACGGAGGATGCTTCCTAGCGATTAAGAAAGCAGCGGGGTTGGGGCAGGGACCGGAGGATGCTTTCGGAGCCACGTACATGCAGCTTGCTAGAAGGTTGGAAGAGCAGGGGGGGAGGGCATTCCCCTTTGCAAACAGAAAGTCTGGTCTGGTGCAAAGCAAAGCGGGTGTGTGACGGGAGTGGGATTTGCCAGCAGAGGCCACCGGAAATCATGTTTTGCAACACCAGGGTGCCAAGGGAAATGGAACCAACTGACCAGAAGGAACAGATTGCGGGGACTACCTGGCTGACAACATGAGAGCCAAAGCAACCTCAGCACCTTCAACGCCTTCAAAGGAACAAACTGGGCCCCCAATGCACCCCAAGCCCGAACCGCAAATCCTCAGGATGTGAATCTTGGGAACTTAAACCCTAAACTTAAAACCCTAAACCCTAAACCCTAAACCCTAAACTTAAAACCCTTAAAACCCTTGAGTTCCCGGCAATGATTTGGCTCTGCTCCACTCTTCGCCAGAAGGCACTGAAGAGTTCGTAGGCTTCCAGTCCTTGGGCTTTCCACCCGGCCGTGTCTAGGGGGCGTGCAAGAGTCAAAGAGGCGCGGTTTTGGGTTTTGGGTTTAGGGCTTAGGGTTTAGGGTTTACGATGGTTTACGGTTTAGGGTGGGAGAACACCCAAAGGTTCCCGGGATCATGGTCCCCTTGAGGGTTCCGCTTCTCGTACGGAGCCTTGAATTTAGGGTATGCCCAGAAATGGTTTCCGAACTTCGACCCAACCCAACAACGAGGGCGGGTATCCCAAAAGGAAGAACCTCTGGGGATCAGGCACCCCACGCTCCTACACCCTAAACCCTTAGAAAACCTAAACCCTCACTCTAAACCCTAAACCCTGAGCCCTAAACCCGACCAAGGGGCTTCGTTGCTTGAAGCCACGACTTCGGCTTCGGCTTTGGTTTTGCGATATGGGGGCCTAAGCCTGATCATCTGAGCAAATGCGGTTCTAACATCTTGGAACAAGCCTTGAGCGCATACCTTAGGGGCCATGGGCCCCTCCATCAGGCTATTGGCGCGTTTTTCGAGCGAAATGTACACCTAAAGGGCTAACCCCGGACTCTTTGCCCTTTGAGGCCGTGGCTGGAATCTTCCAGCTCATTCGGCCATATCCTGGCAGGGGAAGAAGACTTCGGTCAATCCACCAGGTAATTTCTTGAAAGATGTTTGCAAAGGGCTTCATAATCAAGCTTGCAAGTATACGGGTGTTATGGAAGTACACACAGAATTCGGAGCAACCGCGATTTTTGTGGGTGATGCAGGCACAGCAGCTATGCTGGCAGCAGGTTACGGCGCTGGCAACACACAACCACAAGTTCATCGTCGCACCACGAAGCTTTTTTCCCCAGCATCTGCGCCCACCATCTAGCCAATGACCTGCCGTAGCATTCAGGCGCCTTCTGTTTCTGTGAGGAATCGCATTGCCTCGTCTATTCCAACTGCCGCCTCCCCCATGAAACCCTAGAGCTATGAGCGGTTTGCGGACAGAGCGTAGAGGTGCAGCTGCCCAAAGTCTGCAACTGAAGCTGTTCCAACACTTCCCGACGCCTGCTTGAGCACACCCATGCGAGCTTTGGCTTCGGCGATCTTCACAGCCCTCTTCCGCAGGTACACGCGATGCCTCACAAAAAAAGTTGCGAGCAAAAGATGCGGTTTCTGACGTCAAAGTCGTCGGTTACTACATGGTGCCGGCTGAGCCACCGGCCACTTCTTAAACCAGAACTGGATCTCCTTCCATTTGGGATGCCGGCGGCTGTTGGTTTTGTGGTTGACCCTGCGCAGTACCAGGAATGCATGTAGCAAGGCACAAGGAATGAGGCCCCTTAGGCAGAAGATGGCACAAGCATCCTGAAGCCATGCACCTGAGGATTGATGCCAACTCCAGCTCGTCCAACAGACCAGCCTTCTCCTGTTCAACCGGCAGCAAGCCCCCAAACCCTAAACCCATAAACCCCTAAACCCTAAGCCCTAAACAATGGTACGAAGTTAAACTTGCCAGCCGCACATCGATATAAGGAAAATTGCCGCGCTTGTCTTCTTTCGTCATACCACTTCTGAGGCAGGTCAGCAGGTGTGCGGTTGGTTGGAACAAAGGCATGCGAGTCTCACCGGGCCCGGACCTGGTAGCAACTCTGGTCGCAACACGCTGGCCCTTGTCCCAGACGATGTCCTGCAGCATTCTCTACAGCCTCGTGGCCTTGATCAGAACCTTGCACGGTCAGCAACTCACTTACTCGCAATGATGTCGTCCTGCTCTTCCACTAAGTGCATCAACCTTCTGACCTGTCAGTCAACAGAATCTTGAGCTTCTCAGCAAGCACTTGTCAGAGCTGCCTTGAAGAACTGGGTCTGCCGTGCGAGCACTTGCTCGGGTCTTTGTGGAACGCAGTGTTTAAGCACTTCGGCGTATATGTGGGGCGGAGCCTTGCAGTTGCTGCAGAGTGGCCCTTAACGCCCCTAAGGCACACAAACTTGAGGTACAAGTGCACACAACATCGCAGCATGGTGCAAGCGGCCGCCACGGAGGTCTCCGTGAATTCCGGGCCCCAAGCAGCCTCGGGCAACGTACAGCCCATAAGTGATGCGGTCCAAAACAAACTGGCCCCACCCGGCCTCCAGTTTCCCTAAGCCGGACAAGGAGGCAGAGCCCCTGCGACCTGCATCCAGGCCTCATCTTCGCAATCAACAAAGTCGTGTGGCGACTCGTGGTGGCTAGTGATGCTCGGGCTTGCTCACCACTGAGGCTTCTGACAGCGAAGGATCACATCGCTTGCAGTTCCTTCGGCGCAGTCTCGGGCGGGCCTGAGCCAAACCCTTCATGAACGATGAGTGTGTGTGTGTGTGTGCACGGCCTTGTATGGCATCCTCTGCCTGTCTTCCGAGCTTCCCGCGCCAAGTATCTTTGTATGGCTAATCCTTGGCCAAGCAGAACGGCTTCACTCTGCGGGAAAATGTTCAACTCTTCTTGCCCCCCAGCTTTTGCTCCAAGACTCGGTACTTCGTGAAGGCCGCATTATGGATCGGGGTCTGTGTCTCGCCAGTTTCCTGACTCATTGTCAAGGGCAAGCTGAGCCATGCAAGAACAGAGTTCAAGCACCTTGAAGCCAGCACCGAAAAACCTGAATGGGATCACCTGGCCTTGGGATACACATGGAATTTCCACGGGGACGGCACGTCCTCCACGTAGTGAGCCTGACGCTGCCGGTCAAACGCGTTTGACAAGCCGAGGTACGCCACACCCGCAAAAAAAAAGCTTCTCAAGGCCCCTATATCGACTGAAAAAAGCCCGGAAGAACCGGAGTGCCCCTTTAAACCAAACAGAAGATAAGCCCTACAAATCACGTTGATGAACCCCAAACCCTAAACCCTAAACCCTAAACCCGAAACCCCCACCCCAAACAGTGCACCAGCCCTGCACCTGGATGTGCGGTGGCCTTCTGTCGATGGAATTCCCGCCGGTTCGCGTCCTGGCATGAAAGGGTTGGGTTTAGGGGTTGAAGGTTGGGGTTTAGGGGTTGGGGTTTAGGGTTTAGGGTTTAGGGTCTAGGGTTTAGGGTTTAGTGTTTGGGGTTTGGGGTTTGGGGTTTAGGGTTTAGGGTTTTTGGTTTAGGATTTAGGGTTTAGGGTTTAGGGTTTGGGGTTTTTGTTCTTTAGGGTTTTGAGGTTCGGTTTATGGTTTAAGGATGTTAAAGGCCAGGGTTGCGGGTTTGGCGGCTCTACGGCGTAGGGATTGCTGGCCTCAGGACTTTGTTTTAAAATACTAACAATACTACTAATACTAATGATAATAAGAAGAAGAATACTAGTAGTAATAATGATAATAACAACAAGAATATCACTAATAATGAGAATGATAACAATAACAATAACAATAACAATAACAATAACAATAACAATAACAATAACAATAACAATAACAATAACAATAACAATAACAATAACAATAACAATAACAATAACAATAACAATAACAATAACAATAACAATAACAATAGCAATAGCAATAGCAATAGCAATAGCAATAGCAATAACAATAACAATAACAATAGCAATAGCAATAGCAATAACAATAACAATAACAATAGCAATAGCAATAACAATAACAATAACAATAATAACAACAATAATAACAAAAAATAATAACCATTTTGGTTTTCAGGGCCGTTTAGGGTTCAAGGCTTAGGGGCCACCGTTTTGAGGAATTCCCGTTGTAAAGGTCTGCCTGGAACGGGACTGTTGGTTGTGTGGGGTGGTGGGGGGGTAGGGTTTTAGGGTTTAGGGTTCTTTTATTGGGGGCAGGGAGGGGGGGGGGGTGGATCTAAACCCTAGACCTCTTACCTCTACTGCAATAGGGGCGCGCTCCCCCCAACCCCCCCCCCAGACTTGCAATAGGCCATGGCTCTCCTTCTGAGGTTTTTGCCTTTTGGGGCATGTAGGGTACGTTCCTGAAGGGCTTGGACCTCTGAAACCAAGATGAAGACGTACTTAACCTTACCACGCCTAAACCCCAAACCCCAAACCCTCAACCCTAAACCCTACACCCTAAACCCTAAACCCTAAACCCTAAACCCTCTTTTGGCTGGCCAAAGCCCCAGGGCTTGGGTTTTGGGTCCTAGGCTTTCGGGCCCTTCGGGTATCTATTTCGAGGGGGTTGCCGCCTCCAGCTCCGCTTGTAGAAGCGCTTCCATCTGGACTTGAAGATATCTTTCGGTAGAGGCTTCCAGATACCTGGAGGGTATGGAACAGAACCGACATAGGGCCATCTTGGGGTCCTTATGAGAAGGGAATCCTACTATTTGTGGGTTCATTTTAGGGGCACCTTTATTTGCGCAAACCCCCAAAGAGGAAGTTCCAGAAACAAGCAGCTGAGCCCTCGACCCAAGTGTGTTCCACGCGGCATTGGGGCTGGCTTTGTGCTACTGCACACGCCGCAATCACATGATCTTCGTGAACTGCTGCTGTGCAAAGCCTATAATGCACATGAAGTAGGGTTTAGATTCCTTGTAGCCCCAAAAGGACACCCAGTATATACACTCACCAAAATTGAAAAAGGAACCCTACATACGCTCACCCATAACAGGAATATATACCCTGCTTCACATGCCTTTCAAAGCTGATGATTACTGAGCAGATGCTCAAGGCTCGTGGGAGGCTGGCTCTCGCACTTTGGGGGCTTGACTGGCAGTTGGCCGAGACCACTGATCAGCTTGTGAGCCAGGAGCTGACTTAACTTGCAGATGCAACACACAAACAAGCTTGCTGACTTGTCCTAGGCAGAAGCTCCTGGACTCAATCACATGGTTGAGGGTGCCGGGCACCGGCAGCGCGCTTTTGCAGCATGACGAGCCAAGGCGATTTGGTGGAGCATCGAGCAGGGCTGCACTTAGCTCAAGATGCTACCATCGCCCCTGTGAGTAAGGCTGTCGAGAGCAATCACGTGCCTGGAGCCTTCAATGCGCGCTGATGACCTGCAGTTCAGACATTGCGGTCATTGTTGTTGGTTGCCACCAGCCGCACTTCTTGTCTGACTCTAACATTCGGAATCACGGCCTGCCCAGTCAGCATGCCATGGTGGTTCTCAAAGGATGACTCTGCGCTGCGCATCACCTGGTTCCAGGAGACTGCATAAAACTCCTAGGACAAATCTTCAACTCTTCGAGTCGACGGAATTGGCCAAGGGCGGCGCACTCCCAGTAAGCATTCCACGTCTTAGAAGCACACGTGAATGCCCTCGAAGATGCAAGCTTCCTGACAAGTACACAGAAGTTACACAGGCATAGATACGAAAAGTCAGGGGAAGCCATGGGAAGCCGAGGAAATCCGAGGAGGCTTTGGTGAACGTCACAGAACCGCCAGAGCCGGAGAGTACAGGGGTTTGTGCACACTCGAAGAAACGCACTGCACGAAGCTGCAAGCAGATGCAAGCAGCGGAACGCGGTGCCTGTCACCATACTGTCCTCAAGGATGAGGTCGCTGTTGTTCAGGTGGATGGAGCCCGTGAGCATCCTTACAGCAGCGCTGATTAGTTCTTTCTCAGGCTATCTCAGGCAACCTGCACGCATGGCCGGAGAGGGCCAAACATGGCATGTATGGATGAGGCGCTGGCCAGCGGGTCAAATGCCGACGTTGCCCATCAAGATGCAGGGAGTCCGTGTGCATGCCAGGCCCCTATGATGGACTGTGACTAGAAATTGTTGGCTCACGATCTGCGACATCGTGTGTAAATGGGTCTGACTGACCCGCCCGCCTCTGCAGGACTATCCATTGCATCCGCCCAATGAGGGGGCGGGGCCGTCGCTTGAATTGGCGCGTCCCTTACACACCGAGCTCGAAACGCATGGGCTGTATAGGTGTACATGGAACTCGCAGCTCACGCATAGCAGCAGCATGCAGCAGCCTAAGGCCGCGGCAGGTGATCATTGCCCGGTCGCTGAGGCGGTGCGAAGATGTTTCGATGGAGCTGCTGCCAGTGGTTCTGTGCATGTTGGTGCATTTCGTGCAGCTGTTGTGGCAGGTTCTGCAATAAAGGGTGAAGCTGTCGTAAACCCGCTGCCGTCTGCTGTACGTGTTGCTGGACAGCTTGTTGATGCTGAAAGACATGCTCCCGAATGGCCTGCTGCTGCTGGTATACGTGATGCTGGATAGCTTGCTGCCGCTGAGCAATCTGCTCCCGGACAGCCTGTTGCTGGTGGTACATGTGCTGCTGGACAGCTTGACGCTGCTGGGAAGCATGCTCGAGCATTGCCTGCTGGTGCTGATGCAAATGCTCTGCTATCTGGTTCTGGAACTGCCGTGCTTCATGCCCGCCATGGGCATTCAGAAGCTGCGGTTCGTGAGCCGCAGGAAGGGCAGGCTGAAGCACGTCAAGTTGCTCTGCTGTACTCGCTGTAGCCGAGCCAAACTCCATGCTCTCTACAGACTCGGACGCTACTGGACTTCCGTTGGCAGTCTCTTCATCACAGACCAGCCTGACAACGGCCTCTGCTCCTGCAGAGTTTACTGCAGCTTGGAGGGCGGCGTCGGAAAGAGGCCTTTGGGAGCCATCTGGCAAGACCACCGAAATCTTCCCGCTCCTGCCAAGGGTGTCCAGCTTCTCCATGACTTCCTCCATGGTGCACCGCGCAACACGAAAGCGGAAGAATTGGCCATCAGCAGCCTTGATCTTCAGCACGGCCATGGCTTTGCAGACGGCCCGTCAACTACTGTGAACTCTTTGCCGTGGCAGGGAGGATATGTGTCACATGCACGAAAGCTATGGAAAGATGCACCAAAGAGAAGCACCACAGAAGCACCTTGAAGTGACACGGCGCGCGGGGCAGAAGGGAAGGAACCGGGCCGAGCCCTGCTCATAGCGTCGCCATCCCTCTTCGGAGTTGTTATGGCCCTCAACCGACATCCCACATCCCAACGCTTCAAAGCTCAAACCATGAACTTCCTGAACTCCCTGTCTCAAGCCTCAACCCTAAACCCTAAACCCTAAACCACAGATCACCAGGGTTCCTGGACCAGTCTCTTCGCATGATCTTCGAGACGGCCCGCCGTCCCTGCTCTCGCTCCTTAGGGCTTCGGGCTGTTCAGAGCTCACTACGCCCTTGGGGAGGAGATGTAGAAACCGGCGGTGCCCATCGTAACTCATAAACTCCGAGTGATCCGAGTGGGAAGGTTTTGTGCTTGGCCTCTGTTCAAGATGCTCTGAATGTGTGAGATACACATACAGGGACATGCCCCAAAGCCGATGCCAGCAACAGCAGTGACAAAATATCCCCTAAATAGCGGAGGGTTCCTGAAGACATGGGAGGGGAAAGATCAAAGGCGAGAGGGGAGAGCGTGTACGGGCCCGCTCACCACATGGTTGCGTCTGAGATGCCATCTGGGCGACGTCAAAGATGTTCAGCCCCAGCCAATACTCCTGCGCATTCACCCTTAGCCATGTAGAAGATGTTACGGGAGTGTAGGCACAGTGAAGGGCTTAAAGTTCTTGCAGGTCCTTCGGGTTTAGGGTAAGTCGGGCTACAAAGGGTCACAGTGACAGCTGCACGTGAACGGTGAGATGGGGCCTGAGCGTTGGTGAGAAGAGCATCGAGCTTCGTCTGGCAAGTGGTGGACGTGTCGGGCCCAGCAGACTTTAGGATTTCAGAGTTCTTCGCACTTCGCAGGCAAGTGCTCAAGAGACCCGCACGGATTGCGCTCGACCGGCGACCTCGTTTTCCAGCTTGGCCAGAAGATCCACGACCTTCCGGTACTCGGGAGCCTTTTGCGTGGCAGGAAGAGGCCGCATGATTCATCCCATCTCTTCTGAACATCATGAAGACCCTCCAAGAAAGAGTGAGGACTATACCGATGAGGGGGGGTCTTGTCATACTCAAGGGGGGAAGTGACTTTCAATATCGCAACAAAAAAAGGCAATGCAACATGGAAGGGCTCAGAGCAAGCAAGCTGGTTTCACATAAGGCGGCCACTGCGACTAGAGCTTTGAGCTTCGGGTTGATGTACCTGAGAGCTTCTCAGCCCTAGGGGCTCCTAAGCCCTACATGGCTCTCGGTGACACACTGGGTTCGAAGCCCTCTATATCTTTCACCTTTCTTCAGCTTGGTGACTTTGACAGAAGGGGGTGGCACCTGAGCCATGTCTGCGAACCCGAAACCAGCTACTGTGTTGGCCCTCCAAGGTCTTCGATGCAACTGGATCCTGTGAATGTGAGGCGCTCGTTTCACCAGACCTGCACCCTTCTTCCTCCTCGCGATTGGCGCTGCCTTACAGAAAAAAACGTCGAAGGCGGCATGTGAGCAGGCGCAGTCCCAAGCAAGCAGGCCAAGATGGCGGCCGTGGCTGCAAGCTGAACGTGGCCTTTGTTGAGTCAAGATGGCTGCTGCGTTCGGTGGCTGCAAGGCTGCAACATCGCGAAAGCTCCAGTGAGTGGAGGGCTGCTGCGGCTGCTTGAATCGGCCGGGCCAAAGAAGGCAGGCCTGCATCCAGGCCGTTCTGCTACCCTGCTCTTGCCCTGCTCTTGCCCTGGCAACATCCCGCTGTCATAATGCTGGATTCCTGTGCTGATACTGCGCCTGCAGAGGAAGCTTGCTGCAGAGGGAAACAGCACTGGCAAACAGAGCCTTAGCATGAGATACTCAGCTCACACTACTCCATACCACTCCTGTGACTCCCGAGACTACTGTGGACACGGCAGGCCAACTATCCAGGCTGGGACCTCAGCTTCTCTGGCAGCGCATGGGAAATCAGCTCCCAGGGCATGTCGACAGCACTGGGCCGCGATGCACGCATCAGAGCTCGACGGACTTGCCTTTGGAATCTATCAGCAGCGGGTTCTTACAAGGAGGTGCCTTTGCTTTCTAGGCCTCCTCGAAGGCATCGGGGGCATCTTTCGAGGCTCCATCCCCTTGCCAAGGCAGAATGCTAAAAAATCCTCCCACAAGATAGCGATCTGTGTAACAAAACAAGAAGCTGCTTGGCCAAACAAGGACAATGCTGTGCTGCTAGCAAGCTTAGTGAGATCCAAGGCACCGCCACTCCCACAGGGAACGCACGCGTTCCGCGTCCCCCCCCTACTGCTATCTTCAGCTAAGAGGTGTGGGGTCGGCAACAAGCATGCATGAAGACGACAATCCTGCTCGATGGCATACCGGCTCAAAGTTGCAAGAAGGACCCGCGCATTTGCTAAGCAGCGATCAGACAGGGTCCGGCTTTTCCACGAGATGCTGCACACAGCAGGGCAGGAGCCGCTCGCAGTGCCTTCACAAGAAGGTTTCCGGCCTGCTGCAGGGAGATTCTTGAAGTCAGGATATCCACTCAACGATCCCACGTTCCTTAAGACAATAACGCATTCAGCATGTTTAGAAAAGAAATGGGGCGCTGCCAGAACACCATGGCAGTGAGTTGTCTCGGTTTCTGCAGAACTTTAAAGCCTGGAAGACCAGGATCAGCCAATACGTCCGAATTGCAGGGTTTAGGTTTCAGGGGTTTGGGAGATCTTGCTCGGTCGGGCGAACACAGTGTGAACAACGCTTGGAGCGGATGTATTCTGCGATCGAAATCTCGGCGGCCCTCGGGCTACTGTCGTTTCGCATCTTCTGGAGATCGCTCCGGCTTGGAGGAGGAGGTCTGCTGCATCCAAATTACCGGAACACTGTCATGATCTACTCCTTGCTCCTTTAGTAGTCTTATAGTCTTAGTCCGGCGCGGTCGCAGCAGCTAAACCCCGTCCAACGATGAGTTGCGAGATGCGAACATGTCATGTACGCTCTCCTGTCTGCCAACCACTTCTTGATGCCCTCGTTCTTCGCAATGTTGTCCACGATCGCCTTCGCACCACATGCAGGACAAGCTTTCGGGTGGATTCAGGGCTCAGACGTGAGCCTTGACTTTCGGGCAGGAGTCGTAGACTGCGGAGACCTCCGTGTTCCATAGTACAAGAGGCTGGCTCTTCGGGCCCCAGCCCTCAATCCCACTGGCGCACGGACAAAACCGCGCAATGCTCTCAGCTATTTTCAGCTTGTTGGAAGCCAGGCAACATCATCTGGATATGTGTCCTGTGCAGGCTAAGGTGCTGGATCGCAAGTGTCACAAGTGACAAGTGCAAAGCAGGCGCCTTCAGGAGCTTGAAGATGGCCACATCGGCAAGAGACGCCTGGGACAATCTGGGGCCACGGCAGCCCTTCAGCGCAACGTGCTGCGGAGCTGCGGAGGCACCGGCCTTGCTGCCGACAGCATAGCCATCGCTGCCGGGAAGAGCCTTCTCCAACTTCGACAGCCAGTCGGGCAGTTCCTTGAGCTTCTTGCAAAGACCCACAGGAAAGGACAGGAGGGCGATCTCTTACAGAATGCTGCAGCTCTGCATCCTCCGCATACCACTTCTTTTGCAGCTCCTGGGCGACATGCTGCTTCACCACAGAGCCCTGTGTGATGATACATGTCTGAGAACCATAACCATCCTCCTCGTTCATCCTCCATCCTCATCCTCACCATCCTCCTCCTCCTCCTCCTCCTCCTCCTCCTCCTCCTCCTCCTCCTCCTCCTCCTCCTCCTCCTCCTCCTACTCATCATAATCACGGATCCTCATGATCATCACCGTCGTCATCATCATCATCATCATCCTACATCAGCAGCAGCAGCAGCAGCAGCAGGTCACAGCAGGTCACAGCAGGTCACAGCAGGTCACAGCAGGTCACAGCAGGTCACAGCAGGTCACAGCAGGTCACGGTCAGAGTCATCTTGCCCAAGACGGCAAAACTTACATCAAGCGTTGGTATCGCTGTAGGGAAGATGAACTCAATTAGTTATGGTGGTTCATAAAATGGGATGCATGTGTGCTGCTGGTGATGAACAATGAGAAGCTGGTACCGAAAATGAGAAAGAATGAACTAAAAATAGCGACTACATAGCTGAAGAGATACAGAACCGAACCTATGAGAGACATGCAGTCGTACCTTGAGAGAGTACTACTCCTACCAATACCTGTACGAACGCCAACGTCAAGGAAGTAGACTCAGAAAAGAGTAAGAAGAGTCGTGTGTCGCCACCTTCCAGATGCCGGCAAGCTGCTGCTTTCTTCTCTTCATCCTTCATGAAGAAGAGCCCCTTTCGGCTGTAGGCCTGGGCCGGGCAACTGCCCCGACAGATTCGAAAGAAATTTAGGCAAGGAAGCCCAGTGCCACAGTATAGCCAGTATAGCTCAGCTCTGAATCCATATCCAGCCCTGAATTCCAAACCCGAAAAGCCCAACCATCGCAACTCAAGACGACCGTGTGCGGATCTGCGCAAGCAAGTCAAGGGACATCGTTGATGTCGCGCACATGCTCGGCCATGGCATCGACCAAGGCCTTCCGAGCATCAAGTAGCACAGGGTCCGAAAGTTTAGGGTTTGGGATTTAGGGTTTAGGGTTTAGGGATATCTGGGCAGTCAGATTGCCTCCTCCACTTCGTCGTCGCCCATCATCCCCAGCTTTCTGGCCTCATGCGGCCCCTGATCATGCCTGTGCCAGTGAGCTGCGGTGCGTCAAGCTGTGGGCCAGATATCGCTCGATGGCCTTGCTCTGCGGGAGCGTGAAGTCGCCTACATTCAAGACGGGCACCTGGCGACACGGCCAGCTTCCTTGTCATGTTTCTCTTTGAGGCTTATGACTGTTGCGAAGAAGAATGATGATGTTGAAGCCGCAGTCAGATACCCAGAACGGAGCATGGGCATCGGCATGGATATTCGGGTGTTCACCCAAAAGGGCACCTCTGAACTCTGAACAGCCTGTCCGACTCTGCTTGGGGCCTTGCCGAGGGCAATGTCCAGAATACCCGAAGCCTTATCTTCGTCGAACTCCTCGCGCATCAGTCTGCCCATGGCTGCCCAGTCTGTCTCGGTCACAGGGCCCTACAGCAGTCTGCTTCAAGCCACGCGTGGCACATTGTCGTAGTGTTCTTGGAACAGCCCAGGGCTCCCGGTTCCTAGAGGCTTCTTGCAAGAAGAAGCCGCGGCAGCGTGGGCTATCGTTCGAAGCCTCTTCCGAAATCAGACTACACATGCTGCACATGCTTTCGCCAAGCCTGAACTAAATATCTTTCGGGTGCACCCAGAATCAAGGGTTGGGGGCGGTGCATGATGTGATTCGCAAGTTGCGAGCATCTCGCATGGCGCAGTCCTTGCGCTGGATAGTCGAGAAGTCCCCCGGCACGCCGAAGTTCAGCGGATATCGAAAGTCCTGAGCCAAGCCAAACGCACGAAAAAAAAGCGAATGCGTTGTCAGGGCAAAGTGGCCTCGTAATCCTGTCCAGCTGCTGCAAAGAGCAGGCGAATGGTCCTCGCCCGGCTCGAATTGGCTTCACACTACTCCAACTGCGGAAAACCATTCTCAGGGTTCAGGGTTCAGGGTGTAGGGTTTAGGGTCTAGGGTTCAGGGTTTAGGGTTCAGGGTTTAGGAGACTGCGGCGAGATGTTGCCCAACTGTTGCCGACATCTCGGGCAGCCGCTCGGCAGCTCCGCGGACGTCGAAGTATCGAAGCGAGTAGCCTTGAGCTGCACGGCAGCTCCGGACTTTTGCGAGTAAGTTCATCCCTGGGGCATCCGGCCTTCAGCTTGCCGAGATATTCTCACCTCCAGTTAGCAAGTCTTGGTCTTCACTGGTGAGTCACTGGTGAGATCGGTGAAGATTGCCCTAAGCCCTAAGTCACTGGCTTGTCTGGCTGTAGATCTGCCACCAATAAAGGCCGTCATGACCAGCTGGGAGGTCTGCAGAGGCCACTCTGCAAGAGCTGCACAATCGAGGAGACCGGGGCACAAGAGAACGTGAGATTCTAGGAGCGACTGCCAAAACTCCCTGCCTTCTATCTTGCTTTGTGCTACTGGGCGCAACATGGATGGCATCACTTTGTCAAGCGTTCCCATCGCTTCATTTCTGAGCCTTCGTGTCCCGTCCCTTGCTTACTTGAATGGAAGGGAGCATTGGGGCTCATATCGAGTGAAGCTACCGGTGCGTGACATCAACGGAGCAGCCTGCCAAGAAAGCAGGAAAACTGCCGCCGCAAGCAAAGGCCTCACAGGCATCAGTGAGCCAGGAGCTTAGCTTAAGACTTCTGTTCGACTGTCCCTCCAATGTCAAATGAAGCTCTTGAAGCAAACAGGTTCTCAGAGCTGCATCTTGCAAGCAGCTTTGTCTACTTCGAGAGGTGCTTTTGGTGTCTTTTGACTTGCAACCGCAGGTTCTGGAACCCAACTACATCAATTGCTCAAGCTTCTATCAGAGCATCGCCTTGCCTGCGATTCGGGCCCATGCCAGCCATGCGCACTGCCTGAAAATTTTGTTAGAGAGCTATCTTCTCAGGCTCGACGCCTGAGCAAAACCGAGCCACACGGCCTCAGAACCGTGAACTGTCATTGGCCTTGCTGAGTTGGCGCGAACGATGTCAACGTGACTCCGGTTGAGACTTGTCGGCTTCCGAAACTGACATTTCACACAGCATGGCAACTGTGGTTGACGAGCAGTCAAGCTTTGCGCCGAAGCACAGCAAAACAGTGGAAACGAAACTGGTCCCATCGAATTAAAACCTGGAGGGCCTGTCGGCTGCCTCCGACAACTGCGCCTGGAGACCAGCACAGAGCTTTCACAAGCTAGGGCTACGATGCCAAACAGTTGTCAGATCCGCGCGACGAATGCCATGTCTGGAGTCGTTTACGGCCATGGGGCAGGCTGGCGCAATCCATGTACATTCTGGGATACCTTCTCCTGCTGCATAGGCTCATGTCTGAGTATGTCAAGTAGTATTTTAGTGCAGGCGCCAGCTCTGCGTGGAAAACGAGGTGGCCATCTGTCAGGGCACTCGGCATCACGCCAGATCATGCCATACGCTGCAGTCCTGGCTGAAGTACATTACGGCATGTGGTGTGTAGGGTCTGTTGGAGTGTCGGGACAAGGAGACGACATCTTAACGTCTTCGCTCACTTGGTATACAGGAAGCAACATGCACCCAGATATATTTGCAGTCTACATCTGTGAAAACCTTCAATGCTGAGCTTCAAAACATGCCGGGTTGACAATGACGGAAGCGATTCACGCAGTCTCGCCCGTTCCTGCTCCGACGAGGGACTTCACACTCTTGGTGACCTCAGCACTTCGGCGCAGTGCTCGGGATGCCGCTCATCTGCGTGCCATGTACCATGCATCAGCTCCGCAGATACACAGGGGCCGGAAAAAAAAAAAAAAAAAAAAAAAAACAGCTCAGCCCTGAGCCTGGGCAGCGGAATCCAGGGTCTTTGTTCGCAGGTAGCCCGCAGATCTGGCCGCAGTGCGCCCCAACCCCCTGCCCCCCACCCCCGTCCGCAAGACGATCACACATGGTGGCCTGTGAGACGAGCGCTACAGCTACTTATGCTGGCTTTGAACATACAGCTTGCGCGATGCTTCTCTGGCGCTCCACGCCTCTTGATCTCTTCTCTGTACGTGAAGCCCACGAAGCCGCACGCACCGCCTCGGAGATCAGCTGGGTTCTAGTTCTTAAAGGTCCCGCCGGCCCATCCTCCCACGAAATGGATAAAGGCGCACCCCCTTTTGGCGGGGGGGGGGGGGGGTGTGGGCTTGGGGACGCCGTGATCACAGGGATTGGTAGCAAGGAAGCACCCCCTCCATAGCAACAAACGTTAGCATTTTTTTGAAACCCCCTCTTGGTGCCACTGAAAGGCGAACAACGACAACGAAAGCGGAAGCCTGCAAGGGCCCGGTCTCTCTTTTGCTTCACCTTGCTCCAAAGTGATGCCACACTCCAAGCACGTCAACCTATGTCCTTGTCAAGCCGTCGAAAGAGTCCACGAGTTTCCGCGGCCGCCTTCCCGGCCGGTGTGCCTCATGGTATGCAGGGCCGGGATCTCGAGCTCGCTGCGACTGAGCTGATTGAAAGTTTCCAGGTCTTGTCTTCGCGACCTGGTGCACCTCATCATGACAATAGTTGCACGTAGACACATCCCGGCATTTGCCCATGAACTTACACGGGCGCCCAATTTTGGACGTGCATCGGTGAACTGCAACCTCAGGTTGCCTTCCATCTTTTTCTTGTGCCCCGCCATTGCCACCACCTCCCTCTCGAGTCATCCCAGACTTCAACACAGTCGCCGAATCTTCCCCGAGCGAGCCCAGAGAGATCGGCAGGCGATATGCGGGAAACACTTCCGCAAGCTTGGAGTCGAGACTTGAGGACAAGATCCATGCAGTCGCGGGGGTGCGTTCAGGATGGTTGCTGTCGAGATCAATGACCTTCCACTCGTCCTCACCGGATGGCCACCATGCATCGGACCCCGGCATGGAAGGCATGGCCTATTCTATCCGAAACCTGCAAGATTTGGGGGGGGGGAGGGGGGTTCCGAATATAGGGTGACCTTATTGGGGTCCGCTTTAGGGGTCCCCAATTTTCGCAGACCCCCATTTAGATAGCAGGGTGCATCCAGGCATGTTTGGGTCTGAACGCTGTCGTAGGGGAACATGAAGACCGGATCGGAACATCCACTTCGAGAGGTAACGCTCAAAGAAGAAAGTCGATGCGCGGCACGCTTCGTGCTTCGGGTTTGGAGTTTTTTTAGGGTTGGGGTTTCAGAGGGGGAGGGGGTGGGGTGGGCGGATGAGGGTGGGGGAGAACGCAATGCAAGGAGACATGTGAAGCTGCTATGAAGCCCCCTACACGTCAACAAACCCCTATAACCATCCTAAACCCTGAACCCCGAACCCCCTAGACATCACTAAACCCTAAACCCAAAAACTCTGAACCCCAAACCCTAAAACCCAAGCCCTCAACCACCTGCCAAGTCCTGCGGCCACCCTTTTAAGTCAAGGAGCCGCCAACAGCGCCGGCACCGCCGCCGGTGGTGGCCCCTGCGGCCAGGCCAATGCCGGCGCTGATGGGCACGGAGAGGCCGAAGGTGAAGATGGCCGGTACCTTTGGGGGTTTGGGGTTTAGGGGTTTAGGGGTTTCGGGTTTTGGGGTTTGGGGGTCTAGGGCTTGGGATTTTGGGGTGTAGGGGTTTGGGGCTTGGGGTTTAGGGCTTTCAGAGGGGCTTGGGTTCAGGGCTGAGGGCTTGGGGTTTAGGCTTCCGGGCTTAGGGTTCAGGGTTTAGGGTTTCAGTACGATTTTTTACGGGTTTAGGTTTCAGGGTGTTTAGGGATTCGCGGGTGTGGGATTTTGGGGGGAGAAGGCGGGCATGGTGTTCTGAGGTTCTGTGGGCTGTAGGGCTTCTTTTGAACGGAGCTTTGGGGCCTTGTTTTCACTGATTACACCCCTATACCCCTATGCCCGTCTGTTGCGCAAAATTCCCACTCCGACAGCCGGCCCGCATCCCACCACTTACAAGGGCGGCCAGCAGTTGCTTACTCCCGCCTAACAGTGTCTCAGGTCAATGGGAGATGCCGTTGGAAAAGAAAACCCGGGCTGAAAGCTCTCGATCGGATCTTTTTCAGGGATCAGAGAGTCCAGCTTGGGCTAGCCTCTGAACATTTCAAACTGACTCGAGGCCTCTGTGCTGCAACCCCCTGGCACCCTAGCGCATGAGAGCACCGCCTGCGCGGGAAGACGCCCTTTCGGCCTAAACCCCACGAGGGCCGGGCCAAACCCACGGCAGCGCCCGCGGCGGCGCCGCAGGCTGCGCCAGCCACGGTGCCGAAGGACCCACCAAGCCTGGGTCAGCCATTCAGGGCTTCTGGGGCTTCAGGGTTTAGAACATGGGCCCCCCCAATAGGGGCGACATCTATTTGGGTCCTTGTACCTATTACATACCACATGTTAACGTGCGCGTGCATATACGTGTACATACATACATACATACATCCATACATACATACATGCATTCATTCATTCATTCATTCATGTCTCTCATTCATTCATTCATTCATTCATTTCATTTCATTTCATTTCATTTCATTTCATTTCATGTCATGTCATTTCATTCATTCATTCATTCATATACACACATTTATGTATAAGCAGCGTTCCCATCCTCATTTCTGTCTTTATGAGGGTGACCTCACTCCCAACCCCCTGTTCTACCGTGGTGGTACCCCCCTCTAAGTCACAAACCCACGCCCCGTGGAGAACTATTTTAATTATTCCCCTCCAAATCTTCAATCGTAAGCATAAGACGAAATAATGCAAGACAAGACAGAGACAGGCAAAACATCACGCTCAAAAAGACGAAACGGACAAACGAAAGCAACCAAAGAGCGAACCTAATTTCGATATGTTTATGTAACAAGGCCTAGAAGACCCTGCGGGTCTAGACCCCGCGGATCCAGATGCCAGACAAAGCCCAAGCACTTCACGAGGGTTCAGCCTAGAAGCACCGTGGACACAGAGGTAAACCCGGCCCGCGAAGAGGTCGCGAAGGTCACGGCCTCACCCACCTGGCGACGGTGTTGAATCTTGGGGTAGCAACTCCTTCCGATCCAAGCCAGCTGATGGGAACTTTGGACTGTCACAAGCCTTCACCTTGGCCAGCTCCACCGCTTCGGCGGACTTCACCTCAATTTCCGAACAGACTTCATCGCCACTTTCAGACGCGCCTCCTGCAGGGTGTCATGCCCCACCTTGGCGAGGGCGAGGGTCGTGGTCGCCTGCTCAAGGCATAGGGGTGAGAGGATGACGCCGGCAAACTACACTTTCTCTGTGAGGGCTGCAGAGTCGAGTGCAGAATTTAAACTGCTCCACGGGGCCATCCTTCTCCTGGGCTTTCGTGGCGGCAGAGTCTATGGCCAGCTTGGCGCGGGAAGTGGCGCCTGCAGCAAAACGCTCCATGCCTGCTCGCACGCTGTGCTGTTCGGACCGGGAGGAGGAGAGGAGGAGTAGTAGAAATAGTAATGTAGTGCTCGTAGTAGTTTTTGTTCTTCTTCGGCTACTAGTACGACTGCGACGACGAAGACGACGAAGAGGCACAGCTGGACTGGAGGGGTTGGAGGGGCCGTGCGCCTTTGACCTTCTCGCAGCCATCAACGAGGGACTTCCGTGCCTGACACGGAACCCAAAAAAAGGGGCAAGGCTGGCCATCCCTTGGGTTAGCATTACTACTAGTAAGCGTAGAACTAACAACAATAACTATAACCTTAACAACAATTAACACAATCACTCACAATAATTATGAAATGTTCGTTCGGACCTTCACCTGCACCCGGATCACGCCGTCTTTGATCTGGACCTGGTGAGGACTGTTTGCTTTGGCGACCTTCACTCGACGGCTTTGAGGGGCGCGGCTCGGTACTTGTAGAGGCAGAAGGCGCCCGTTCCTCCGGCGACACCACCCGTCGTGGTTCCCACCAGGAGGCCTCCCGGGTGCTTTGCAGCCATGCTCTCAAAGCAAATAAAGGCCATGCAACTTTCTTCTTCCAGAAAAATATATCTGTACAACTACCTATTCAGTGCATCCGAAAAAAGTGTGCAGGTACATATGGACGAAGAGAAAAATCAGTCGAGGCCTGCAGCCGCGCCAAATACTGCGCCCGCCGGAATGGACAGGCCAAACCTGCAGCTACTCTGGCAAGCGCTGAGGTTCTACAGTTCCATGGTTCAGGGTTGAGGAAGCCAAGGGTCCAGGGCAAAGGCTTTAGAGTTCAGGGTGCCACCAAAGGGGAAGGACTCTAAACAGGAGCAAGCGGCGTTGCCAGTGCAGGCGCCACCCCCGCGATGGAGCCAGCCACGATGCCAGTTGCAATGCCGAAGGCGCCTCCTGCGGCGCCCACGGTGATGGCCTCGGCTGAACTTCAGACCCTGCGTACGAACTCCAGCTCCTGCGCTGTGCTAATGTTGTCAGTCTCGCCATCCATGCGATTCCTAATTTCTTCGTGTACAGTATGGTTGCCGCCTCTCGTGCAATGCTCTGCAAGGGTCTCGGCCCCTGCTCCAGTCGAGATTGTCAGCATCTGGAACTGCGGCTCCTGCTGCGCGGCGTTCTATGGAACTTCAGATGTCATGTTACGCCTTGTCGCAAGAGCTTAGTCACCCAACGGCTCTTGCACCTGCCCCCCCCCCCCCCCCTGTCTCAATAGCTTCAGGATATATGCCTACACTATGTCTTCTTGTATCTTCTGTACAACTGCATGGTCTTTGCTGGCGGTCTCAGTAAGCTTCTGGGCAGGCATTTGCCCATCCGTGAGCATTACCCACCACTAAACATTGGGACCACTCTCGCATGCCTAAGAAGCAGCAAGGGGGGTGGGCTGGGGATTGGAGGGTGCTTCATTGCCTGGAGCCTGGTCCCCTCACCGGCAAGAGGCTGGAAAGCCAAGTCCTAAACCCTAAACCCAACAACCCAAAAACCCAAAAAGGCAAAAACCCAAAAACCCAAAAACTCAAAAACCCAAAAACTCAAAAACCCAAAAACCCAAAAACCCAAAAACCCAAAAACCCAAAAACCCAAAAACCCAAAAACCCAAGAACCCAAGAACCCAAAAACCCAAAAACCCAAAAACCCAAAAACCCAAAAACCCAAAAACCCAAAAACCCAAAACCACGCAGGGCTCCTTCACCATGGTGACGATCCTCGTTCTGATATCCTGGCCATGCTGGACTCAAGTCCACTCCAAAAGAGGCATCGCGCATCAACGTCTGCATGCTGCATGACTGTGTTCTTGGACCTTACAGCACACTAGACTTGCTTTATAGTATGTCTGGCACATTCTACTACAGTCTAGCATGTCCATGCATGTTCCACTATGTTGTGGGAACTTGTAGCACCAGATGTGCTACGGAACGCTATAATGGACTATCCATACTATGCCATGTCTGACATTGCAGGTCTACAGGCAATCATGGAACCGGTGATGCCTGCACAGTGCCTTCCCTTGTGCGCACAATCGGCTGCGACCTGGGCTTGGAAATGTGGAGGGCAGCGCCGTTCTAGGAAACAGGGCCAACAAGGCAAACAGAACACCCAAACCCAGCTTTAGGGGTTTTAGGGTCTAGGGTTTAGGGTTTAGGCTTTAGAGTTTAGGGTTTAGGGCTTCCTCAAAGTTGGACCAGTGCATTGCCCGTGGGCGTTCCGTGCCCGCTGAGCATAAGCCCGGGACTTGGCATCTGTCGCCTCGCAAGCGCTAAACTCATGGGTTCCCCTACTACCCCCTCCTAGGTTTCCCCCTTTATATGACCTTAATTAAGCCTTAGTTAAGCTTGATTATCCCTAAGTAGCCTTCATTATGGGGGGAACCTAGGGGGGGTAGTATAGAGGGGGTAGTAGGGTAGCCCATGAAAAACATGTTGGCTGAAGCGCCTCAGCGAACCAGGCCGAAATCTAAAACCATCAAAGCAAAATGTAGTAGAATACACTACTAGCAATTATCTATACCATAATACCATACTACACTATACTATACTACACTGTACTACACTGTACCAGACTATGTTCTAGACTAAAAGTAATTATACAGACCCATGCAGAAAATCTACTAGAAAAGAAAACAATATAAGACAGCATGAGATAGCAGAAACCAGCATGAAGCAACAGAATGCAAAGCGATTAAATGCTGGACAGTATATACAATGAAAACTGAGCTCTTCTCATGACAAGACATGACAGAATCCATTGCCACGAACATAGGCGAATATGGACTGTGCCAAACATTTAAAAAAAATGTACAAACTGTATCATGAACACATGAGATAACCTGGGATGACCGACTATGACGGTCTACAATACACCATGCTACAACGTGCTACTTTGAGTATACCGGAATATGCCATGGTACAATCATGGTATGCTAGAACACCAGAAAAGACGAGTACATCGTTTGTCTATATATATGTTTACATATATATAAATATATATACATACATATCTATACAAAAACGGTACTACACTGTATTCACTGCATCGTACTACCCACGAACCCTAAAAGGCTGAGGGGTTGCAAACCCGAAGCCCCCAAAGCCCTAAGCCCTAAACCATGGCCTCACCCATGCCTCGGATGGCCGGAACTTTCTTCAAGGCAGCTTCGTCCATCCAAACCTGAAATCTTCAAGGGGGGGGGGTTTTGGTTCAGAGGAGGCTATTCATGGGGGTAGGAGACAAGCACTCGGGCATTTCTGATTTCGGGACTGCTGCCCTGCCACTCGGATAGATGTGTCTGAAGAAGCAATCCCCACTCCAGCCTTGTCACCAAAGCCGCCCACTCAAGTGCAGCTGGGCCAAATGATGTCGCCGGGGTCCATCATTGGTGCTTGTGATGGTGTCAGTTTGAGGGGCTTGCGGGTTTGAGGTTCCGCTCCTTCACTTGCTGTGTGGCTCCACAGACGTCTTGCTCCTCAGAATTTTACTTGGGCTTGGGGTTTCGAAGTTTAAGAACGAAACAGAAGAATCTCCCAACTACTCTCGTAGGCAGGTTGAAGAACCGAGTGGAGTGAGAGGAATTGACCATATCCGTTAGTCCGCTAGGTTCTACCACAACCCTAAGCCCCAAACCCTAAACCCTAAAAAAACCCGAAACCCACACCATTTTGGAGCTGCAGACGGTCGCGGGCGGAGCACTTTGCAAGCGCCTTCTGCCACACAGGCGATTCTCCGTTGCAAGCAGGCAACTATTTGATGATTCCATGAAGTCGGGTTACTTTAGCTCGTTATCATAGTATTATGTTCGAGTTTGTTATAATCTAAGGCTCATACCATCTCATACCGCAACAGCCGGTGGCATCCGCTGAATTCTGGGTGAAAAATACCAGCTACAGCTCACTAAATGAGGCTAAGCATGGCCTACAAGGTCTAAATACAGCAACGATCGTGCCTTCCAACACGCGTGATGCGGATTCAGGGGCTTCAGGTTTTTTCTATGTGGATCACACGGCTGTGGCCATCCCGCCCATCTCCGGCTATTCAGGGGCTGCTTCGTCAGACCACATCTTCAAGTTGTCCTGGCCGGCTCAGGCTGATTCAATACCAGCACCAGATCACACAAGAGAACAATCGCAAACAATGAATGACTCACAGCCTGCATGATGGACACGAGTGGCTGCGAATCACGGACGGCCTCCTGCACAAGCATCTGGCATCAGCTGGAGGTCAATGTCGAGACGAACAGAGGCAGACAAGGCTTGACTTCGTAAAGTAGCATGAAAACTTCTTCACTTTCGGTTTCAAAAATTTCATGGCCGGAGCTCAAACCCCTGTAGATGCAAACTGACTCACAGCGCGCCTTCGGCATTCCCTCCAGGCTTCGTGCTGCTAATTCCAGGGAATCCTCGCACAGACGTGGCCATGAACAGCAAAGCTTCACAGACCTGTTGGTTCCATCTGCACCAGGAAGTAAACTGGGGACGCCACTCTGACTATCTGCGCAGCTGCCGCAGGGTCCTCCGGTCCGATGCAGATTCCAGGGATAAGGGCATCAAGAGAAGTGCGGCGGTTCACACACAAATGTCCTTCAGCACCGTATGCTGGAAGACCTGGCACTACAAGCCCAGCGCAGATGACAAACCATCCAGACACCAGTGCTCGCATGGTGGCTTTGGAGACGCTGGCCAATGCCAGGGCCTACCTACAGTAGTCTCCAAAAACTTGGAACATCCTTATCCCCACACCCCGAAAGGTATACCAAAGGACACAAAAGGGAATCCCAGCTCTAATGATCCTTAAACCATGTTCCAACTTTCTGGAGTTTAAAGTAAACCCCTAAACCCCTAAACCCCTAAACCCCTAAACCCCTAAACCCCTAAACCCCTAAACCCCTAAACCCCTAAACCCCTAAACCCCTAAACCCCTAAACCCCTAAACCCTTAAACCCTTAAACCCTTAAACCCTCTGGGTTTCGCACAGCATGGTTCAGAGCCACGCCGAGCCGCACGGGATGGGTGACCATGAGATGTGTCTCAGCCTGCGTTGGCTGAAGATGTCAGGGTTTAGGGTTTAGGGTTTAGGGTTCAGGGTTCAGGGTTCAGGGTTCAGGGTTCAGGGTTTAGGGTTTAGGGTTTAGGGTTTAGGGTTTAGGGTTTAGGGTTTAGGGTTTAGAGTTGCAGGTCTGTGCAGTAGCTTGGGCTTTAATTGGGTCCCTTATGCATACCTTTTTGCAAGAGGATCTCTTACAAAAGTTTCCAACTCCCCATGCATCTCTCGGATCTTGGGCCTCTTACATTGTAACACATCCAGGATCTGGGATCCCAAGCAGGAGGAACTCGACGAGCTACAGCATAGGTCAAGAATCAGGAGCCAAAGAATCCGATCAAGCCACCCAAAAAAATCGCCCTAAACCCTAAACCCTACACCCTACACCCTAAACCCTGAAAGTCGAATGCCTCAGGTTGCTGGGACCAAGGGCACAAAGGAGCGGATGGACCCAAGGGCCTTCACTTCTAGGCTTGGAATTCTGCACACGAAGATCTGCCCTTTTCGGAAAAGCACAAAGGCCTCCGACTCCTTCGGGCTTTAGGGTTTAGGGTTTAGGGTTTGGGGTTTGGGGTTGGGGGTTGGGGGTTGGGGGTTTAAGGTTTAGGTATAGGGTTTAGGGTTTAGGGTTTAGGGCCTAGGGCCTAGGGTTTAGGGTTTAGGGCTTAGGTATAGGGTTTAGGGTTTTAGGGTTTAGGGTTTAGGGCTTAGGGTTTAGGGTTTAGGGTCTAGGGTCTAGGGTCTAGGGTTTAGGGTTCAGGGTTCAGGGTTCAGGGTTCAGGGTTTAGGGTTTAGGGTTTAGGGTTTAGGGTTTAGGGTTTAGGGTTTAGGGTTTAGGGTTTAGGGTTTAGGGTTTAGGCTTTAGGGTTTAGGGTTTAGGGCCCCCTCAATCCTAAGCCGTTGGAGCTTCGGCGCCTCTACCGTGGCGGCCACGTAGGTTTCGGCTGCACTCGCAACGGCCTGCCACGAATGAAACTTCGAGCTGCGATTCCCCTTTCATGGTTTTTCTGGGGCGTGGGGTTCGGGGTTTTAGGTTACGGGGCAATTGTTGAAACCCTAAACCCTAAACCCTAAACCCTAAACCCTAAACCCTAAACCCTAAATTAAATGCGATAGCGCCACCTTCAGCGCAGGGGTGCGAGGATTTGTTCTCGAGAGGGGCTGTTCTTAGACACTGCTTGAGACGAGCTTCGCCCGATGTCCTTGCAGGTGCTGCCCTTGGCATAGGTAAAGACTCCCGAATTCGGGTCCCTGTAGTTGCGGGTTCAGGATTCAGGAAGCTCAGGTCTTGTTAGCCCTAAACCCTAAACCCTAAACCCTAAACCCTAAACCCTGAACCCTGAACCCCCTCAGAGTCCGAGGTTGGGACTTCCCTCTGGCCGTCTCCCTCCAGAAACTCGGCGAGGTAGCGGTAGTAGTCCGCCTCTTGAAGTCTTGGGTTTAGGGTTTCGGGTTCAGGGTTTAGGGTTTCGGGTTAGGGTTTAGGTGAAAAAAGTGGGTTATGAGCGCTCAGTTTGGGCGATCCTGATACTTACCTGATGTTTCATCCCCATTATACTAGCAGTCCCTCATGGGGATTATAACCGGGGGTACGATAGTCCCTATTTTGGACTGTCAGTATTGGGGGATCCCAACCTACACACCAAATTCCCTGAGCCTGTAAGCTGAGAGAAAAAAGCCGAGCGCCCATCCAAAGCCGTGGGCTGCAGAGCTTTAGGAGGTGTAAGGGGTTCGGGGTTCTGTGGGTGTTGGGGGTGTTGGGGGGTTCGAGGTGCAGGGTTTTAGGGGTTTAGCCGGTTAATAGCGCTTTTTTCCAGAATGTTCGAGGCTCGGCGCCTGCATCTTGAGGTAGAAGACTTTAGGCTCACCAATCTCAGCTTTCGGCCTCAGCTCCACAAAGTCTAGGCTGGGGGGGGGCAACTCGGGTAGAAGACCTGAACTCAGGCCCCCACTTAGGGTTTAGGGTTTAGGGTTTAGGGTTTAGGGTTTAGGGTTTAGGGTTTAGGGTTTAGGGTTTAGGGTTTAGGGTTTTTGGGCTTTTTGAGCCACTATTGGGGTGGGTGGTCTGGGTCGGAGGGGAGGTTGAAGGCTTCCGAGTCGCGGGCTGCCCTGAATTGTGGGCACCCTTTTTGAGGTTTAGGGTTTAATTTTCGGATTTTACGGTTTTGGGTTTTGAGGTTTAGGGCTTTGAGGTTTAGGGTTTTGGGATTTGGGGAAAAAGGGTTTTGGAGCGGCTTTGGCGTGTTGTTTTCGGGGCTTGAGGTCGAGTGTAGGATCCCAAAAGTCCCCAGGGCGCGGGCAGCAGGATCCCCTCGAGAATCTCCAGCACCTCTGAGCAGATTTCAGGGTTTAGGCCCTTCGGGTTTAGGGTTTTAGGCCCGGAGCCCGAAGCTACGCCCGAAGCTACGCCCTAAGCCTACGCAGCCTAAGCCAGTGGGCACTCTTGAGTGTTCAGGACTTTGGGGTAGCCCTAAACCCTAAACCCTAAACCCTAAACCCTAAACCCTAAACCCTAAACCCTAAACCATTTGTGTAATGGAGGCTTTCAGGGCTTGGGGTTTAAGAGCTCTTAAAGCCACTCCAAGGCCTGGATGCAGATGCCCTGCAGCTCGAGGCGCACCTAAACAGGAAAGCCCCGGTCATCCCCAAGCCGCCCCAAAAGGGGGTTTAGGGTTTCGGGTTTAGGGTTTAGGGTTTGGGGTTTGGGGTTTAGGGTTTAGGGTTAGAGTTTAGGGTTCAGGGTTTAGGGTTTAGGGTTTAGGGTTTAGGGTTTAGGGTTTAGGGTTTAGGGTTTAGGGTTTAGGGCTTAGGGTTTAGGGTTTAGGGTTAGGGACCCAAACTTCGGCTACATCTTGGTGTGGGTGAGACTTCGCGCCTTGCTCAGATATCCAGCAGCCAGAGCAGCGTTCTTCTCCTTCTCGGCCCCTTCCTAGACAAGCAGGGTGGGGATTCATCCACATTAGGATCCCGAGCTTCCTCTAAGGATCCTGGGTGTGGACTTGAGGGTTGAGGGTGGAGGGCTTAGGGTTTAGGATTTAGGGTTTACTGTTTAGGGTTTAGGGTTCAGGGTTTAGGGTTTAGGGTTTAGGGGAAGGGGAGCTACAGTAAAAAGGGGTGCTATGATTTGCGATACCTCTTGGGGACCCTCGAGCGCGAGCCTCCTGCTCTTGGACGCTCTTTGCCACCCGGACGGCAAAGCGTCGGCTGCTCATGAGGCCCTGAGCGGTGCAGCACACTGCCCAGCAGCCCAGCAAGAACCCCAAACACTCATTGCAAGTTGAGGCTGCTCAGGCTGCCTAGGATTTTCGTGATGTTTAGGCTTAAAGTGCTTCGGAGGGTTTGAGTGTCAGTGGCCTTGAAGGCGGCCGCCAACATTTCGCGCTCCTCACGTGCCAGAGCTTTGCCGGCCTTGACTCGATCCTTGGCTTCGACTTTGGGAGTCTTCTCTATCGGAGGCTTTCACGCACAAAAGCCCACGAGCTTACTCTCTTCACACACACACACACACACACACACACACACATCAAACATATCAAACGCCAAACGCAGGGCCTTCATGTATGTGACCATGTCATCGTAGCGCTGTGCCTGCTCTGCGACATTGGCTAGGACCACCGCCTCTTCCTGAAACTGGAGTGTCTGCCGGAAGGACCGGTGCACATGAAGGCTACGAGTGCTGCAGGGAGGCACCACACGAAAGCAAAAGTCCTCTGGCGGAAGGGTCTGCTTCTTGCGACCCATGTCAGGCCAACATTGGTACTACTCGGTCAGTTGACAGATGCGGCTGGCACTGGGTGGGTTTCGCTAAGCCTCTTGTGTCGCCAGTCACTGCGCCTGTTTTTTCGAAACTTTGGTTGGTAGAGTGTCGCTCACCTGCATCGGGCCTGCTATCACTGACTCTGCACGGCTCCATGTGGGTGTTACTGGGCCAGCAGGGCAAACACACCACATGTTGTGAAGCACCAACGAGAACTCGAAGCAGACGTGTTCCAAGGTCTCCCTACATGCAGCAAAAGCGCAAGTCGCCAGGACATGCGGAAGTTTTGTTTCTCGCGGCTCCCTGCTCTACATGTCGCGTCCTGCACCCTTGTTTCGGGCAAGCACACAGACGAGAGCACGATGCTCGGTTCCTTACGAAAGGAATAGAATAGAGAGTGCCTTCGTTCACATTTTGTGAATATTGAAAGTCAGTCACTGCTAGCTACTTCTAAATCATGCTTGGGCAAGCCGGCGCTCGGCTTGCCGCTGAACAGTCCTTAGCAGCCCCCCACGGGCCCCACGAGAGTCGAGGTGTGAGTACTCTGCAGCCCTCAGCAGCGAAGGCACCAGGTGTGCTGGGCCCCGGGCTGCATCCAGAAGCTGCCAGCGGTTGCCTCGCAGTGAGCATGCAGAAGGATGCACCCAATACGATAAATTCAAGCACGCAAGTCTCCTCGGCCCTAAACCCTCAACCCTCAACCCTCAACCTTCAACCCTAAACCCTAAACCCTAAACCCCCAACCCCCAAACCCTAAGCCGACACACCTGATCCGGCAGCTCGCCGCTCACCGCTGGCATCTCGGCAGCTGAGGGCGCCGCCTCTGCCCCCCCCCCCCCCCCCCCCCCCCCCCGCCCCACAACGCCCCTTTGGCCACGTTCCGTGCTGCAGCGTTTAGGGTTTAGGGTTTAGGGTTCAGGGTTCAGGGTTCAGGGTTCAGGGTTCAGGGTTCAGGGTTTGGGTACCCCTACTATAAATCCCTTTTCAAGGACTGCTGGTAGAAGGGGGGAACATGGCAATCTAGGGATTCTAGTACGCCCTGTTCTAATCCCTATGAAGGACTGTTAGTAGAACGGGGGAACATCCCAATCTAAGGGGGTGGGTTTAAGGCACCAGTTGAAAGCTGGCTCCTGCGCCGGACCGGCTTTGGCACGGGCTTGCTGGTGCATCTCCCCCTTGTACTGGGAGAAAGCCTACAGCGGTTTAGGGTTTAGGGATTAGGGTTTAGGGTGTAGGGTTTAGGGTATAGGGCCCAGGGAAGATCCGAACTCTCTCTCTCTCTCTCTCTCTCTCTCTCTCTCTCTCTCTCTCTTGCTCTCTGTGTCTCACATCTCTCTGCTCAGAATTGCTCTCAATGTCCTTCTCCATCATGGTCGTCTCGCCAGTATCTAGGTTGTGCAGCAGAAATGGCAGGACTTTTCCTTGAGGACAGTTGCGATCACCTGGCCAAGGAACTACTTGGGCACCTCTCGTGATCTTAAGGTCTAAAGGGGGTACAAGGGAGTATAAAGGGGGGTTTTTAGGGGGATATAAAGGCGGTATATAAAGGGGGTATAGAGGGGGGGGGGGTGTATAAGAGCAAGCAGACGCTGTCCACAGACCCCCCTACTCGACCAGTCATAATGTGCTTCTTTCCTCTTGCATTTCAAGCAACAGAAGAATTCCATACCTTAATACATGTCCCTTGTATCTGGTCGTTCCAGTTTTTCACTGTTGACGTTATGCCGAAACATTTTGGAAAAACTGACGAAATAATGGCATCGCAGCATCATATTGCATATACCGACATGAGATGCCGAAATGTACAGCAGATGAAATCAGGACAATGTGGATGAACAAGAAGAGCAAACACGAAATAGTAGATATCTTAATTGCCAGACAGCGGATTAAACAAACAAAGGTGAATAAGAACATAAGATACAGATGTAGAGATAGCACATGACAAGTTAGGAGCACAAAACACACATTACGCAACATAGCAAATGATGAAGATAAATTTATGCTGTTTGAGGCGGTTGTTGATCAGAACTTTATATGCCCATACTGCGCCACCTGTCAGTCAAGTCTTGCCAATAGCAAGTAGAGAATGGATATGGACACGTATAACTCGTTGTGTTGATTTCAAGAAAGTCAGGCTTTACAAGAACGAAGAGTTTGACAAACAAATGACAAAAAATGATCATGAGATATTCTCGAAACAAGCTGGAGATCTACAAATTACAGGACATGAAAGCAGGGCGGGACTTCTTTATGGGAGATCGATGAAGAAGAACCCATAACTGCCGAATGGTGCTGCAACAGGTTTACAAGCAGATGCGAGAAATGTAGCACGACATGGAATTTTGAAGTGAAGCAAAGTAAGCTATGTAGCAACTTTCCAGTGCAGCGACTATCTAATGATTACGGACATCATTTGGAGAATTGTTGTGCTTGTTGCTTCTGTTGCAATGTAAGTACTAACGTGTTGTTATGTAAACGGCTTCGGACAAACAGAAGATCGTAAATGATATATATATATATATGTTTATATATATATATATAGTACCATCGATCGGGGCTTGGAAGTAGAGAGACTGCCTTGAAAGATGCTAGCGAGAAGGATGCCAGTATTACGAAAGAAGATGATGGGGAGCTTTTTGAGATGAACATCTGAAGAGAGAAGGAAACCACGAGTCGAGATCCATTTTGAAAATCAATCGGAGCTGTTCTTCATAAGTAAGAACGATCTAAATAAATCAGCAAAAATAGGATAGGATCGGTATTAAGCGACCCTTTTAGTAAATATGCCACTGCTATACCGATCAAGAGCAAAAAGCCACCTGATATGCGACCAGAGAAAAGGTAAATGTTTTAAGGTATGGAATTCTTCTGTTGCTTCAAATGTATGTAGCAATAAATATATTATGACTGTCATAAGCATGTATCCAGCGAAGAACAAAACACCGCAAGGTAAGGTTGGTTTAAGTTATGAGGTATATAGAATCTATAACTTAAAGCATGGTAGGCGAGTTGAGAATACTTTGAGATGGAAGGCGAGTAGGGGTGGAGGTCTGAGGACAGCATCTGCTTGCTACAAGGGAGGGGGGTATAAGGGGTAGTGTAAAGGAGGCATAAGGGGGGTAGAAAGGGGGTATATGGAAGGGTATACGGGGGGTTTAAGGGGGCATAAAGGGGGCCTAAAACCCTAAACCCTAAACCCTGAACCCTGAACCCTAAACCCTGAACCCTGAACCCCAAACCCCGAACCCTAAACCCTAAACGGGGCATAAGGGGGGTCTAAGGAGAGCCGATGGATGGAGTCCGAGGCCTTCTCCAGAGCTGGCAGAGGCTCGTGCAAAAGATCGGATTGCAGGCTCCTGCGCTGCTAGGAGCCACGTTTTAGGGTTTAGGGTTTAGGGTTTGGGGTTTAGGGTTTAGGGTTTAGGGTTTAGGGTTTAGGCTTTAGGGTTTAGGGTTTACACACAAGCACTCCAACATGGCCTCAACATGGCAGCCCAGTGGAGAAATCTCACATACGTGAGGCGTCGTGCACATGTCCCCCTGAAAATTACGGGGCCCTAAACCCAAAACCCTAAACCCTAAACCCTAAACCCTAAACCGGCTTTGGAGTTCTAGAAGGCGCCTCCTCCACGTCTGCCGATTCGCTGTATGCGCAACTCAACTTCGGCTGCACCGCTTGGACGATCCAGTGGACCTGGCCTCGGCTTGTAGGGGGTTTAGGGATTTTGCTTTGAGCTTTAGCTTTCTTCCCCCCCCCCCCAAACCCTAAAATCCGAAACGGCCCTAGGCCTGAACCCCATGAGGTGCAACTGGGCCGCCACTGTTCAGGTCTTTGATTACAGTCAGCTGCGACTCTCCCGGCCAGCCATAGGCTGCTTCAAGGGCAGAGAGCATCCGATGCGAAACCTGGGGGGCAAAAGCATGAGACCCTTTGGCGCAAATCTCGTCAACGCGCAAACTTGCCTTGAATGTGGCCGCCGTGTCCAGGAGCTCCTTCGAAGTCAGCTTCGCATTCCGCGTGAACCTGCCCGGGTCGGAGCATGCTCTACTGTCATGCACGCTCGCAACTGGTCGCTTGACGAAGACTCGTTGGGCATCACCCAGCTTAACGCGGCACTTCTTCGCTTTCACCACTTCCATTCCCCTGTGGAGCTGTGCACTTTAGGCGGAGCGGTCGGCGCCTCTTCAGAAAAGGGAGCGCCCGACAAGGGTCCTAGGCTCGCTCACACACTGATGGCAAACACAACGCAACTGGCGTCAAGTTGCAATCGCACCCTCCACTTGCACAATGGCTCCCACTGAGTGGTGGGCCATATGAATCAAGGAGTCTTGGATGCGATACAGTAGGGCCAAGCCGATTTGCACGACGACCCTCCAGCCAGCAACCAGGAAGCGATCCCAGATTCTGCGGACCACCTCCTGTGGCAAATCACTGGCGTAGAGGGTCAGGAACCACTGCATCGCGTAGTACTCGGAGTTCACACCATGCCTGGCAGGTTGCAAAAGACCTGGCACCCGCTCTCACAATCTCAGGCAGTATCTAACAGCAAAGGGCTCTAAAATCCAAAACAGTTCCTGTACTACAATATACTAGAACATACTGCCCTGCACATCCCCAAAACGACCATCCACTACAATGCACTCTGACCCTACTCTGTGCCATGTATACCTTGCAGTATCGTGCCGTAGTATCCTCGAGTATCCCATTCCTACAACTCCCAGGACCACGGAACCGGTGGCTCCTTGTGAGGGCTGCGTGAACCTTCGGCAGGAAGCCCTCAACAAGGCGGTCGAACTGCCAGAGCACCACACCCAACTTCTGGAACTTTGGCCTCTCCGCGGCTTCGTGGAGGCTCACGAGTTTGGGGTTTGGGGTTTGGGGTTTGGGGTTTAGGGTTTAGGGTTTAGGGTTTAGGGTTTAGGGTTTAGGATTTAGGGTTTAGGGTCACGAGTTTGGATGGGGGTTGAGGGCAAAAAAAAAGATTGCCACGCCCGACTAGCACCCACCTGCACTCGCCACGTATTCTACATCCTAGTTACTCTAGTTCTGGGTACGATCATGACTGGTATTCCTGATTCTCCTCCCTAAAGCCAAAACCCTAAACTCTAAAAAATCACAAGGATGCTCCCCGCAGGCCTGTACAGGTCCACCAAAGAGTGCCGCAGAAGAAGGGCCAAGCCGCAGTTGAAGGATGAGAGCTCATCATCCGGAAACACCAGGACCCTCAGATGGTCGCTCTCTTGCATGGATCTTTTGGGGGCGGAATGTTGAAACCGCTGTGGGGATGCAGACGAACCTACTTAGCCAAGGAAGGGGTAGCTCTCTAAAGTAGCTTCCGTTTCCAGGACATAGTGTAATACGGCACCATTGGAGCCTAATTTAGAGAACAGCTCAAATGCAGAACCTGTCGTCAAGGACGAGAACTGTTTCAAGAAAACTGAGACACCAAAAGCCTATCAAGTCGTCAGCCTTCGTTGCTCTCAAGAATTGCCCACATCAGGTCATTCTGGATCAAAAACCCCTAAACCCCTAAGCCCCTAGACCCCCTAAACCCCTAGACCCCTAAACCCCTAAACCCCTAACCCCTTAGACCCTGAACCCTCGCATCACGAACATCCGAGGCCAACATGCTAGCATCATCAGCATCAAATGGTTTAGGTGCATCACCCGTTCCTGGCACATCCTGTCCTCTCTGCGATGCAAGAGTAGCCAACACCAAGCCTTTGCCACTGCAAGCAGGGCACATCGTTGCAACGACGAAGTTCCTCGGACCCATGCCCCACGGGCACGCATGGGCATGTCATGAAGCGCAGCACGCTCTGGGGCTCGAGCAGGCTTTGACAGTAGCCGATTTCACTGAGTCGGATCGCCAGGGCATGAAGCAGCCTGCCAGCTTACGCCTAAACCCTCTCAAGACCATAGAATCCCCAAGGGCGCACGCTCTTTGAAAATTGAGAGAAAACAGAACAGCGATCTGCCCGGGCCTGAAGAGCATGTGCTGCCCGTGTCCATCTTCCCTGAAGAGCGGTTCTTGGGGAAGCGTTCCTGGGCGACAGAACACAACAGCTTACTGCATTTGAAAGCACCTCACAGCGCCTCTGGCAAAACCAATCGTACGGTTTCAAAAGGGTTGCACAACTTGAAGCCAAGTCTCTATGTACATCTCGGCGAATCGCCGCATCATACGCGCATTCCTGCTTGCAGAGTGTGTCCTTGGAGAAGGGCAGGAGCGCCCCAAACCCTGGTCTGCCGGGGCTTGCCCCATGCTTGCAACCCAGGCACGTAGTCTCCAGAGTCATCTTGCAAGGTGATTCCACCCAGCAGTAGCTCCTTGTCGGGTAGCTAAGTAGCTACAGGGCACGTGCTTTACTTCTCCAATGTCTTTTGAAGGCCTTCCAGGCACTTGCCCGCCGACTGCCCAGGTCTTCGTTCCACAACGCTTCCATGACAGGCTGCCTGGGATGGCATTTCCATTAACTCTGCACTCCGAACTCTAGGGGCCCCTTGACAGGGACCACTGCTGAGCGAACAGCAAACCCTAAACCTAAGCCCCAAGCAATAAACCCTACAAACCCTAAACCCTAAACCCTAAACCAGCAGCAAAAAGAGGCAGCCATGTGCTGTCACGCGGCGAGATTCCACCCGGAAGTCCCACGGACCATCCCGGCTGCCCTGGCGTCATCAGCTCTCAACATCGCCAGGGGTTTCGGGTTTAGGGTTTAGGGTTTAGGGTTTAGGGTTTAGGGTGTAGGGTTCAGGGGTAAAGGGCTCTGGGCTTGGGGTAAGGGGGTTTGTGGGTTTCGGGCAGCCCCTCTTACATGTTCCACCACACCGAATCCGGAGCCGAACTCCTGCAGAGGCCCCGCCTTGGCAGTCCTGGCGGATGCAGGGGTTTAGAGATAGGGGCTAGGGGCCAGGGTTTGGCGTTTAGGGCTTAGGGTGCAGGGCAGGAATGAGGTCAAATCATGGTTATGTCGCTGCAAAATCGTCTGCTCAGCCATGGTGGGTGGCGTCCTTCTTGGTGGGGAAGGTTCAGGGAAGAGTTAAGCAGTGGAGGACGGAGGTAGGGGATCGAATTCTCTCACCAGTCCCTTTTCGTGGATCGAGGCAGGCTCTGCCAATGCGAGAAGAGAAAGCACCAGCGATAGGAGGCACTAAGACAGATGCTGAAGAATGCCGGTGAGGAATGGGGGAAACATAGTTCGAACCAAACCAGAGAGACACAAAACGGCAAGCTTTGCAAGCAACCACAACGTGCAGTGCCATGGCGGCATTGCAGCAGGGATAGAGGTTGCCATGATTGTAGGTGCCGTTGTCGAGAATCTGCCGATGGCTTGAGGGAGGTTTGATGGGCTTGGGGTTGAGGCTACAGGGTATTCAGGTCCAAAAATCTTACGCACCCTGAAACAACAAGAACCCACCCCCGGCTCGCGCTCCGCCCTCGCCTCGGCCTTTGTGGTTTACTTATATAAGGGCTTTTCAAGGTTTACAAGGGCTGTTAAGGGCGCTTCAGAGAAGCTCGGGGGCACCACACCAAACTTCAAGAGGTTGCTTAGGAGGCTTCCATGCCCCCCCAAACCCCTAAAAAACGCCACAATGGGTCCTTCCCTCGAATCAGCCCGCGCAGCTCGGGGCTCACGAGGCAGCACCTCCTGGCCTGAAGTGGAGCGAATGTGGGAAACTTGCTGTTCAGGGTTCGTGCTTTTGTTATATAAGAGGCATGGGGGCCTCAAGGGCCAAGGGGAGCTAGCCTGGCTTGCTAGGAAGAAGTCTCTGCTGCAAAGGCGGTGTCGCAGGACTTTGGGAGTTTACGACACTATCAAACCAAGCCCGCGCTTCCCTTGATCCGGCTTTCGAGCAGTTTCGGGCCTACTTAGGGCTCAGGGCTCAGGGATGCTTCGAGACGGCGACTCCCACCTCGATGAAGCGCAGGTGGTTCAGGAGCCCGGCAGACAGAAGCACCTGCCACGGCTCCGGCTCCCGCTCCGCTGCCTGGGAGCACATGCATAAGAGGACAACAGTTGAGCTGTGTCCGACAAAGTTACAAGGTCATGGCGGCTGTGGGTGTAGGATGCTGGGTTGCAGATTTAGGGTTGAGGCGCTTGTGGGTTTGGGTCTTTCAGGCTGGATAGGGTTCCGGCTAGCAGTTAAGACAAGTCGGCTGCAAAGTCTTCGTAGGCATTGCTGAAAGCACTCTCGTAGCCTTACCCTTGCATCAACATGTACATCGCAGAGTAGCGCCCACTTCATCATGGCCTTTCGCGCCAATCATGGCGACCTTGACCCTTCAGGGCATAGGGTTTAGGCTTTAGGGGTTTAGGGTTTAGGGTTGAAGTTCTAGGTTTTAGGGTTTAGGGTTTCGACCCTAAGCCCATCCGCATTTTCGGGTTCAGGATGCCTTCGGGCTTAAGGGAAACTCGCTCGCCCTAAGCTCCAAATAGAAGATCCTTGTAACCTTCTTCCTGGTAACTTCCTAGACCTCCAAAATCCCTCAATCCCAAGGATCGCCAAGCCACACTGCAAGAGAACTGAGAAGCCCCGTGAGCTCCGAGCCCTGCACCGAGGTCCCGGCGTCCTCCGAAACATCAGACGCTTGCATCCCGCGTCGTGCCGGCATGAGCCATTTGGAGTCGGCGCAAGGGAGGCGACGAGGGGAAAAGCTTGGGGGGGCTGGGGCTTCAGCGGCTCTGAGAAGTCTAAAGATGCAGAGTGCTCGCTGGTGCTCTCTGAATTTTGTTTTTTCCTGCGTTGTGCTAAGGCCCTGAATGCTTTGGAATGCGAGACCGCGGAAGATCATGAAGGAGAGAAAGGCTCCGAGACGTTGCAGTTCACACCTGTCCCCAAACTCCTCAGATCCCTGGGCCCCGTACCAGTCGGAACTCACCCTGGCTAGTGCTCCACATATATACATGTACACAAATACACATATATAGATCTATATCTATAAATATGTCTCTCTCTCTTCTTCTTCGTCTTCTTCTTCTTCTTCCTATTCTGCTTTCTCTCTTTTTCTTCTACTCAGCTTCAACACTGCGTGGCAGGTTTCAACGTCTGCGCGAGTGGGGGCGTCTCTGCCAACTTCGACATTTGGGGCTCGAGTTTCTGGAATCATGCCGCTTACTCCAGAGCAAAAGGCCGACTTGGAGAAGGTGAGTTCGGACCTGCGTTTCCAGCTGGATCAAGCTGGTGTTTCCGATGTAAGCCCGGTTCGGTGCTTTGGGAGTTGTCAGTCTTCCGCTTTTCGTGGGGCTTGATGAGTCTCGTGACAAGATGCGTGATGCTCTGGCTGCGGAGTTGCCCTTGAACTTCCGTGAGTCGGTGGAGAAACGACTTGAGATGGCCAGGCTCCTCAGTGCTTGGGAAGCCTCCAAGCTGAACCTTGAAGTGCAGGAGAAGAATCGCATCCAGTCGCGCATGGGCACTCAGCAACGTGTTTTCCAGCCTACGGAGCAGCACGCCATGAGGGTCGCCGTGGAGGCCATCTTGGGACGTCAGGTGACATGGGAAAAAAGATGTCTCTGGTGCCAAAAGTCTGGCTCTCGGCACTTTTCTTTTCTTGCGAACAATGTTTCCTTCGTCTCTTGTGCTTCTTCGCCTTGTTTGCTTGTCTCTTTACTTGACCCGCCTCCTTCGCAGACCTGAGCCTGGTCGATGCAAAATGAAACGCTGGCCATACAAAAAGCGCATGGTACGTCATCTGCGAGCTGTGTCACCGGAGATATCCCTGAGCCAGTCCACTCGGTTACACGTCGGACTGCTTTGCACATGAGCGCCATGGCGAAACTGTCAGATCGTGTCGGCGCCCCACTTGCCGCAGAGCTGCTGGCGAGCTGCTCGGATGAGCAACTCCATCATCCTTGAGAAGGGTTGAAGACAGGGCGAGTATCTCTCCCTCTCTCTCTCTCTCTCTCTCTCTCTCTCTCTCTCTCTCTCTCTCTCTCTCTCTCTCTCTCTCTCTCTGCACGCCTAGCCCCCCCCGAAGAGAGCTGCCCCGAGGGGCGCGCCAGTCCCAAGTGAGTATCTCTCCCTTTCTTTCTTTCTTTCTTGGGGGCATGGGGGCGAACCCCCGGGCGTCCTCGCCCGCCCCGGTATTCGGGGGGCCTCCGGTTCGGGCGGTTAAGGGAGGAAGAGCGCAGGACCGTTTAGTCCCCCATTCGAGGGAGCTTTTGCACGCGTCTTCACGGACTCCAGCACAACAGCTCGCCTCTCCCCCTCTGCTGCACGCTCTTGTCTCTGCAGCTCACTGGCACAGTCTCCCCTCCACGCATGCCCCAAGAGGCAAGCAGGGCAGTTCAAAGTCCCTTTGGCTTGCCAGACGGCAACTCTTTCCATGGCGGCGCGGGCGAATTCTGACTTCTTATCCCTGAGCAAGTTGACACGCCCCCGAAAGGTGAAGTCCTGGCATGGTGACCACATGTGCCCCTGAACACACCCCCAAGATTCTCCCTCTCCATCTCTCTCTCTCCCTCTCTCTCCCTCTCTCTCTCTCTCTCTCTCTCTCTCTCTCTCTCTCTCTCTCGCTCTCTCTCTCTTTCTTTCTTTCTTGGGGGCGTGGGGGCGAACCCCCTGGCTGTGCGCCTGCCCCGGTATTCGGGGATCCTCAGTTTGTCTCGGGGACGTGGTCTCTCTCTCTCTCTCTCTCTCTCTCTGTCTTTCTCTTTCCCTCTTGTTCTTCCTCTTCTTCTGCCTCTTCTTCGTCGTCTTCTGGCGGCATGTGGTCTCTAACTTCTGTCCTACAAGCTGCATGTATTGAGGTTTATAGCTGCTTCTGGCAGACGAGATTAGGCTGGCATTGAGGCTTATAGCTGCTTCTGGCAAACGAGTTTAGGCTGGCTTACGTAGCCTTGTAGGGTCTCCGGCATGGTTTCAAGCGCAGTTTTTTCTTCCCCACCGTGTGTTGCACCCCTGCAGCTTGGAAGGACTTGTTGCCTCCAGCGTACAAACATTAACATGCTGCGGAAAGGCCGGTGACTCTCTCATAACCCGACCGCCTGAGCTGCAGCACTGCAACCAGAATCAGAAACATACAAGCTCGGGGCACTGCACTGTCGGATTGCCTTCGGTCGTGAGACAGGACGAGTGCAACCTGACAAGGCTTGATCTGGCTGAATTAAGGCAAAGGCTGTTGGCGGCATCTTGCCGTCAATACACATCAGACGACACCTGCACGTCAGACGAGACAACCAAGGAGAAAGCCCGCGATTACAAACTTGGAATCTCGACCTAGGGCCCGGGCCCCCGCCTTCGACGGCGTGCTGAGATGGGAGAAGCTGCCCTGTCCAGGATGCTGCATCTGCTCTGGTTTTCCGGGGTTGATTGATTCTACAACTCTCAATTTCTCGCAGCAGGCAAGCATGTGCACTGATTACCCTGGCATGCGCCCGGAGAGCCTCGATCTGCGAGCAGGTGTCTTCCAACCTGCGTCCGGCTCACTTGGGAGGCATCCCGAAGCCTTCTACCTTAAACAAGACCACACGTCCAGGGTTTGGGGTTGAGGGTTGAGGGTTGAGGGTTGAGGGTTGAGGGTTGAGGGTTTAGGATTTAGGACTTAGGGTTTAGGATTTAGGGTTTACAGATGATGTTGGGCCTTGGTGGAGGAGGGCAAAGTAGCCCCCCCTTAAAACTTGCTGCTGGAATAGGGTCGAACCTCAGCCCTGTAAACCCTGCGAGTCTTAGGAACTCGGCCGAGAAGCGTTTGGTCGCACCTTCTGGGACCCGCCTTTCCCTGGAACCCCTCCCCCTTGTTTTGAGGCCTTTGCCAGAAACCCTGCCGGCCCGGCTGCCGAGGGGGTGCGCGCAAGCGTTTACAATTATCCCTACTAAGAGGCAAACCCCAAATGACCCTCACAACCCTTGAAGCAAATCCAATGCGACCCTTCAACAACTTCAAAACCATTCAGAACACTAAACCCGAAACCCGGAACCCTAAACCCTATCCCCCCTGTGCCTTGAACCCTGAGACATGAACCCTGAAAACCCTAAACCCCTTCCCCCCCCCTCCTTAAACAACCTTTAAACCGCACCTACAGTCCTGCAAAGCCCCTCAAAACCCCTTTTAAAAAACCTTCCCACCCCTATTAAAGCCCCTGAAAGGCCCCTTTAAGCCCCCTAGAGCCCCCGAAAGCCACCCTACAGCCCCTTAAAGCCCCTTAACACCCCTTAAAACCCCTTAACACCCCTTAAAACCCCTTAAAACCCCTTAAATCCCTTCAAAAAAGTCCTAGAGCCCCTTTATAAAGCCCCTTTAAAGCCCCCCAATGCTCCCTGAGGAGGGTGCAAGCCCAAGAGCTTGTTCTGAACGACCTCGCGCTGGGAGCGCTCCTGGGGTAGGGTTTGGGGCTTAGGGCTTGGGGTATAGGGTTTAGGGTTTGGGGTCTAGGGTTCAAGGTTTAGGGTTTGGGGTTTCGACTTTGGGGGTTCTCAGGGTTGAGCGTTTATCCAGGAATCACTCCTCAGGCTCATCATGCGACATTGCTCCCGGTCCTGCTGAATCTCGGCATGCAGTCGCCCGCACACATCCTGCTGGCAGAACCCCTCAGTGATGCGGTCAGGGCCTCTGCCTCGAGTTTAAGACCCTAAACCCTAAACCCTAAACCCTAAACCCTAAACCCTGAACCCTAAACCCTAAACCCTAAACCCTAAACCCTACGGCTTTCGGACTCAAAGATTAGGGGGCCAAGTCTCGAGGCTTGCATCCCACACCTCCACCATCCGCAGCATCATGCCCTCTGCCTCAAACCGCAGCTGCCTCAGCTGCTTTCTGACTTGGCACCTCTAGGGTTTAGGGTTTAGGGTTTAGGGTTTAGGGCTTAGGGTTTAGGGTTTAGGGTTTAGGGTTTAGGGTTTAGGGTTTAGGGTTTAGGGTTTAGGGGGCTTGGGGGGGGGGGGGGGGGGCGGTTCAGATTCATGGGTAGTTATAAGTAGGGTTCTACGTACCCTAAGGAGGGTTAGAAGTAGCGTTACCACATGTACTGAGAGCCCTAAACCCTAAACCAAAAACCCTAAACATAACTACCCATGAACCTCCAAGTGCACATCTTGAACCTCCAAAGCACCCGGCTGCTCACTGACAATGGCATCCTGGACTTTCCGGAACTCTGCCTCGCGGCGGTTTAGGGTTTAGGGTTTAGGGTTTAGGGTTTAGGGTTTAGGGTTTAGGGCTTAGGGCTTAGGGCTTAGGGTTTAGGGTTTAGGGTTTAGGGTTTAGGGTTTAGGGTTTAGGGTTTAGGGTTTAGTGTTGAAGTCTACTCCTGTACATGTCATCCTGTAGCAGTTGCACCATGCAGTTTTCCGTTTGCTTTCTAGGCCCAAAGCCTTGAGCATGAAACATTCTAAATATGTACAGCATTTCACAGAGTAGGTGCCAAACCCTACAAAGTAGATATACCTTTGTGGACTTTCGTTTCCTTGTTGCTTGCGTGTAAACAGCTCCGCGCTTAGTTTGAGTCCTTGCAATGGCTGATTACAGAGGGGAAGTCATGAATCCACTTCTGTCTTCTATGCCTGCTGGGGCTCAACCTCAGCAGGTTATGAGCCCAACGCTTGGGCAGGGCTATGGCACCAATCCACCGCATCCATCTCCACCTCCCGGAGGGGATGGTTTGCAGCATCCAGGTTCAATGCCACCACGTGAATCAGGCCAGTCAGGTGCAGTGGGCCTTGAACCTAATACGGCTACGGGAGGGGCATTGGGAGGCATAGGCCAGCATGAATCATCGCGAGGTTCAGGGGAAATGCCACCAGTGTCGACCACCAGTGAGGGTGGTGAGAGCGCACACCAAATTGTGCATGTGCCCGGCAACACACCGGGCGGGAGCCCAGGTCTGCAGGCCAGCACTGGCATGCCAGGTACCGCGAGCGGTGAAGCAGCGCCAGGGGGAGCAGTCGCTGGGGACTCCCATGTTGAGGGGTTCCTTACCCCACGCTCCCAGCAAGGACAGGGTTTGCCGACTATTGCAGAGATGGTTGAGGGCTTCCCTGGGGCTGGGCTCCAGCTCATGTCAAGGGTTGGGGATTTTTTTAGAGTAGCCCGCACTGAGGTCATGCAGGTCCCGCTGTGGCAGGACTCACACGCAACGCCACCACGAAGTGCTACCCGTTCCATGGGTAGTCCGGGGGGTGCACCAGGGCAGTTGGCTTTGGGAGATGGGAGTTTGGGATCTGCTAGTGGGTCGCCGCCGCAAGTGGGGCCACTAGGAACGCCAACATCCTTTGCACCATCGCACCCCGGAAGGGAGGGCGCGTTACTGAACGCTGACATGCTGCAGCGCATGCAGGCTTTAGAACAAAGGGCCCCCCTATTGTACGGTAATGTACCCGAAAGGCCTCAATCCCGAACAGACACGTCATCTTTGCCTCAGGAAGCAATTCAGGCCGAGGTTGCTAGGCAGTTGGCGGGGTTTGATCAAAGGGCTCAGGCCCAGGACCTTGAGATCCAGCGTTTGAGGAGGCAACTTGAGGAGGAGAAGGTTATGAGGGAGCAGTTGGCGAGGGAGGCGGCAGCTTCATGCAGTGCCCCGCAGGCCCCCACACCATCACAAATGCAGGTCCCCATACCCCTCCAGGTGCCATCGCCGCAAGATGCTCAGGTCCACACTTCATGTGCGCATCAGGCGCAGGATGTTGCAGCGCCGGCGGTTGGTGCTTTGAGAGCGCCCGCTCAAGCTGCAGCAGCAGCCGCGTCAGGGTTTTGGTCCAACTTCTGGTCAGGGTTGCAGGGTTCCCATAGGTTGCCCAGCAGTGCAACCCCACCCGGAGGGGTTGGGCAGTCCAATGATGCAGCGCAGGCGAACTTGGCCTCTTCTGGCCCAGACCCCCTTTCTCAGGCCGAAAACCTGGGTCTGGGCCAGATCTGGCCTCAAGGCTCAGGAATGCCACAGGTGCCACAGGTGCCACAGGTGGTACACAGGTGCCCGCATCTCCACCCGGAGGGGTTGGGCCCGCTGCCTATGCACAGGTGCCACAGGTTTCAGGCGCAGGTACACAGGTGCCACAGGTGCAAGGTACACAGGTGCCCGCATCTCCACCCGGAGGGGTTGGACCCGCTGCCTATGCACAGGTGCCACAGGTTTCAGGCGCAGGTACACAGGTGCCGCTTGCACAGGTATCAGGTGCCCAGGCCAGTGCAGCTCCAGGAGGAGCGCCTGCAGCAAGTGCAACGCCGTGTGCAGCAGCTACCTCGGGCAATCCCATGATGGATGCCTTGTTTGCAGGAATGCAGCAGTTTCACATGCAGGCGCAGGGAATGCGGGATAAGAGTGTTGTTAGCAACGCCCCTGAAGCAGTCAAGCCAGGCACTACTGCACTTCCCACGCTGAAAGCTCCTGATCCGATGAGTGGTTCGTTGGATTTTCACGATTGGTTGGAGTTAGTTGCAGGGTTGATGGGTGATTTGTCCGATTCCTCGCATGATTGGTGGACCGCAGTGCTGCAGGTGAGCCGTGACGCATATGAAAGGTGGGTTAAGGCTACTCCGCTCGATCGCATCAGGGTAGAGGTTGACGAGCGCCCGGAGCTGGTGGAGGGAAAGTGGTCCAGGGTCAATGCACGTGCGTGCGCCATGATTTTAGCAGCCCTAGATCAAGGGGTAAAAGCGGAAATGGTAGCTCGCAGGACCACTCAAGTAGCCACTCAAATCATGTTTCGGCTTTACACGTTGTATCAGCCTGGAGGTTCCACGGAAAAGGCATTGGTGTTGAATCACCTGCAAAATCCCAATGTTGTTCAGGATGTGGTGTCAGGTGTGTCCGCGCTGAGGGCATGGGGTAGGTGGCACAAGCGCTGCATTGACTGCGGTATGGTAGCCCCAGATCCTACAGTTCTTGCCGGTGCCCTCACCGAAATGACCAACCATATCCTAAGCCAAAACCCGGACCCCATGTTCCGAACTCAGATGGTTCGCAGCATGTTGCACATCGAGACTCACCCTTCGGAAGATGCGGTTCAGGAGTATTACAAGCACTTGTTAGCCGAGTTTGAAACCATGGCTGGAGCACAGATTGCCACACAGGGTGGGTCAGGCAACAATGTCGCTTTGAAGGTCATGGACGCTACGGGGGGTAAGTCGGGGGGCAAGGGGGGTGAAACTAAGGGTGGGGGGAAGGGTAAGCCGTGCAAGTACTTTCTTACGCCTAAGGGGTGCAAGTTCGGTGCGAAATGCAAGGCTCCTCACTCCATGAGCGACCTGCCAGCGGCTGAAAGGTTTAAGAAGTGCCTCAATTGTGGCTCTGAGGACCATCGCGTCAAAGATTGCAAGGCTGGAAAGGCCGAGCCAACGGCGCCGGAACAGAAGCCGTCAGTCCAGGCAGCCTCCACCTCCACGTCATCCTCCGCGCCACCCGCTGTCCAGGCCACGCCTGTTCTGTCCATGGATTCCTTCCTTCAGCACGCATCCCACGCCTTGAGGCAGCTTGAAGCTGCGCATGCCACTCATGGGCAACAGCCGTCGCAGGGTCCAGTATCCACAGTGCCTGCCCCAGCGGCCCCCACTCCTGACGGAGATGGTGTGCAGCAGCCTTCAAATCCATCCCTCAAGAAGCTCACCATTTGCTCAAGCATGCCAGCTAGTTGCCTTCTAAATGACCCACAAGCAAACCCCCCTTCTCGAGCCGAGATCGAGGGGTTGCCCGGTGCCCAAGCCGTGGAGTCCGAGCCACCTTTCATTGGACATGCCCTTCTAGACTCAGGGGCCACGCACCCTTTACGGCCAGCATCGTCGCAGGAGAGTGGGTCAAGACAAACAAGGTGCAGGTTGGTTTAGCGGGGGGCCACACATCACACATGCGCATCACCAAGCATGGGGTGATACTCACGCCTCCCGGGAGGGATGAGCTGCCGACTGCAATTGTGCCCCTAGGACAGCTTGTCGCGCGGCTGGGGTACATGTTGAGTTGGACACCTGATGAGTGTTTCTTGCGTTCCCCTGAGGGTGAGCTCACCACGTTGATGGTTCAGAACGGTTGCCCTGTGATTGAGCGTGATAGGGCATTGACGCTAATCGCTGAGTTGGAGGCTCAGCGTGAAAACGCACGCAGCACGTTTGCAAACCGCGCTGCAAACGAGGTCTCTTCAACCCTCGTCATAGCCAAAGCACTTCAGGCCTTTGGCTTGCCCCTTGGAGGGCAGGATGAGCACGTAAGTCCAAGTCTGAAGCCAGGGTGGGGACATGGAATAAGTGCCCAAATGACCGCGCCCATTTGGCCAGGGCAAACCCCCCTTATGGAGCCAAAAAAGGGGGTTTGTGGGACCCAAGTTTTGGATCCCAAAGTGAGCCTGCAGCAGTCCTCAACCGTTTGGTTCAGGCTGGATGCCGACGATGAGTGTGACGACAACCCCAGACGTTGCCAGCTTGATTGTGACAGGGATTCAAGCGTCTATGATTTGGACTGGACTCGTCTGCCACTCTCGCCACTCGGAAGAGATGGGCCTGCACAGGTGCCAGGTCCACTGCAGTGTCGTCCGGGCGGGTTTAGTTTAGATGGTCTTGGTGGGTTGTGCGTGTTTGGGCCGCGCAAGGTCCAGCCAACAGTTCGCAAGGACCTAGCCGCCAGGCCAGGAGGAGAGCGCGAAACCACAGTGCCCAACAGTGTTGCTCCAGCAACCCCCCCCCGGAAGGGCGGGATCCGCAACACACGCCGACGTCTGACGGCAAACCTCCTTTTTCAGCTGCTGTTGTGTCTGTTTTTGCTTGACATGCGTGGCACTGTGTTTACACCGTGCTCTGGTGTCCGGAACCCACCCGCAGCAGCTACAGGCACTCCAGTACCGTACTGGATTGAGGAGGAGCCGTGCGTTAGGTTGTGGGGTTTGAGCGCTGTCGTGCCGGAGCCTCCTGTCCAGGAGGAGTCCCAACAACCCCTTGCAGAAAAAGCTGTGCGTTTAGCTTCAGCTGCAGATGGCCTTGTGACAGCAGTTTGTTGGGGCATGCCTGGGTTTTACCTGGTTCACAAGCGTGATCATCCTGTTTGTGCGATATTCATGCTGCTTGTCTTTTTGCAAGTCATAGGCGCCGCTAGCCAGCAGGATGAAGAGCCGGAAGACCTGTCGCTCCCAGTTCCCTTGGACGCCGACCTGATGCTTGCAGTGTGCATTTTCGGTGTTGCGTTTTGTGCCATTGTTTTGTGGGAGTTTCTGAAGTGGAGTTTTGCCTTCTTGTCCCGCAGGACCTTCGGCATGAGCAGTGTGTCGCTAAGCCCGCGAAAGGCACGCAAGTTGCAGCGTCTCAGGGACCGCACGGAGCAAGCAATCCGGGCAGAAATCTCTGAGAGAGAGGCAGCGGCCAGTTCCTCACAGCGTCTTGCGACCGCTTCCGGGAGGAACGCGCCAGCTTCCACTAGGCAGGCCGATGAAGCACCAACTCGTTTCTTTGCAACGCCAGAGGGCAACACGCTTCATCGCACCAAGGCCTGTTCCACACTTGCCCGTTCACACAAGTTTGTTGTGTTTGAGGTCTGCCGGCAGTGCCACAGGAGCCAGGCAGACTGCACGCAGCATAGCACACGTTAGGGCATCCGCCGCCCTGACGGGTAGGTTGCGCGCCCCATTGCGCAGGCCTGCCAGCAGTGCTTTCCTTTTGCAAAGAGGTGCCGTGAGAGCCCTCGCACTCGGAGGCCAGCCGGCCAGCTACAGCCTTTCCTTCGGTAGGAGCTCGTACCTCCTCCCGGAAGGGATGGACATGTACAGGTTTTGTTTGTCGCAATACCCTAGCGGTGTTGCGAAGGAGGAGTGTTGAAGTCTACTCCTGTACATGTCATCCTGTAGCAGTTGCACCATGCAGTTTTCCGTTTGCTTTCTAGGCCCAAAGCCTTGAGCATGAAACATTCTAAATATGTACAGCATTTCACAGAGTAGGTGCCAAACCCTACAAAGTAGATATACCTTTGTGGACTTTCGTTTCCTTGTTGCTTGCGTGTAAAAAGCTCCGCGCTTAGTTTGAGTCCTTGCAATGGCTGATTACAGAGGGGAAGTCATGAATCCACTTCTGTCTTCTATGCCTGCTGGGGCTCAACCTCAGCATTTAGGGTTTAGGGTTTAGGGTTTAGGGTTTAGGGTTTAGGGTTTAGGGTTTAGGGTCGACATTGGGCAGTGCGAGACGTAGCAGCAGAGACGGAAGAATGGGCTCAGTTTCGGGTTTAGGGTTTAGCATTTAGAGGTCAGGGCCGCAGAAACACGACTAACATCGCTACAATATCAACAAAACGAAAGCCGACAATACGCAGCTGCCAGGCGCTCCATGCCTCAAGGTGCGAGACAATCTGCTCCCCGTACTCCATGCGCAACTGGCCATCAATGGGTATGGGTCTTTCCAAAACACAAGGGGGGACCCCTAATATACCTCCAACATATTACAACCCTGATTACACGAACCCTACAAGGGCGCTTCCGTTTTTGAATTCAGAAGGCTCGAAATCAGGTTCGCATGTATCATGTTCAGTCACCGCGTGACACACACCAGCACTGGTCCCGCAGCAACCTAACCCTACCCATCGCCTGCGACACTCAATGCATTATCTTGGTTTTGCAGCGTTGAAGACCCCAGTCATGGAGATGCACAGCCATTGCGCTACGGGAGCTCCAGACGTCCTGCGCGTACTGCGTTTGCACTGCCACAGTCGGTTTTGAAGCCATAGGCCCCGACGTCCTCCGCACTTGAATTTGCGATGCCAAAGAGGCTTTCTCGAGCCACTGGAGCTCCGGGCGTCCTTCGTGTACTATGTAACACCACACTGGAGCTTGGGACGTCCTCTGCGTACGGCGTACGACGTTGGAACGATCAACATTCGACCTTCGAGCCACTGGAGCCCTTAAGCTCGACCCCCTATCGGAACCGAATCCTGAATCCACGAAAGCTTGCCGCTACATACGAAGTTGTGCCGGAACCTCTGAGTCGTGAATCTCCGGCAATCTACGCCCCCTTACCCCTTGCCGGCAGAACCCCACAGTGTTGGCACAATGTTTGGGGAATGTACAGGTCTTTTTAAACACATGCACAGATAGTCAGACAAATGGGTAGATACATACACAAAGGGGGAATGGGTTACTTCTTGTGGGAACTTATATTACGTTCCTCAGCAGGAACCCCGAAACCCCAAACTCCCAAACCCTAAGCCCCAAATCCCGAACCTGAAACCTCAAAGCCCCCTATAAGCCCTAACCCCTAACCCCCTAAACCCTAACCCCCTAAACCATAACCCCCCCCAAATCCGCAACGAAAAAAACAACCCCCCCCCCCCCTCCCCAAAGACTGGGGCAGGGGAGGCCGTCCGCTGCTTCTCAAGCAAGGCTTGGAGCCGTTGGACCTGGTCTCTTAGGGTTTAGGGTTTAGGGTTTTGGGTTTTGGGTGTAGGGTTTAGGGTTTAGGGTTTAAGGTTTAGGGTTCAGGGTCTAGGGTTCAGGGTCTAGGGTTTAGGGTTTAGGGCCCGCAGAAAAGTCCTTAAAAAAAAAACAGTCGGGTCAAGATTCCAACCCCAACTGGAGTGGACGTAACTGGGTCCTGGGAGTTTGTGCATGCTGGCAAGGTATCCTGGAGGAACTGGCCGGTGCTAGATGGGCCGTGATGTTTGGGTATGGGGCAAAGGCACATCGGGAAGAAGCAAGCATTGGGAGTTGATGGTCGTAACAGCGTCTGCATAGGCCATAAAACCTAAACCCTAAACCCTAAAGGCCCTGCATTGATTTTGGACGAAATGAAGCGCACATTTGGGGCTGGTTCGGCTGTATTCGCTGTGTCGCAGGCTTTGCACCACAGGACAGAGACTCTTAAGACACGAGGACTAGACGTCACCGACGTCGCCAAAGCTTATCCATTGCACCATGAGCTTTCACTCTAGTCCTTCGCGCGGATCATGCTGGGTATCTTTGGATGGCATATAGCTCCGGCAACAGCTTCGAAGCTCTTGCGAGGACTCCATTGAATTCGCCCCAGACAAGTAGCGAGGAAATTGCGCCCCCACGGTTCGCTGAAACTTGAGGCTTCGGGGCAACCGACATCGAGGCGCTGCCCCGTGGCCTCTTCGCCAACTTCTCGCGAGCAGTCGTCGTGAACCTTTAGGCGCAGTTCTGCGTAGGGCTTCTAGGGCCTAAGGTTACAAGGGTTCACAGTTCACAGGGTTTCGCGAGCTTAAAGTCTGGGTCTCTGAGCCACCCTCCGCATCCCAGCTCGAGGTGCCAGATGTGCCTACGCAATCCAGCCTTTCTGAAACAGCGAAGACATGGCGCTTACTTTAGAAAGTAAGCCGGAAGATCCAAGATAGCCTGCAAGTCTCCACCTACGCAGTCTTTTGGAATATGGATTTTGAATGCAAGCTTCTGAGGTTGGGGTTTGGGGATGTAGGCCCTAACGGTTCAGGGAGGGCTTCGGGGCTCGTCACAGCAATCCACCCTTCTGGCTTTCAGCATGGCAGTAGCTAAAGTTGCCGTACGGTTGCCTTACCAAACGCAGGCAGTGTGGGTGTTCTGGCACCCGTCCATGTCCGATGATCGCAGCATACAGTAGATCATTAGATAGCATTCTGCATCCAGGCCCCGCACAGTCTCCCTCTGCGACTGCTCCCTCAGGAGTTCCGTGCGGCAGGCATCCACGACGCTGTCGACTGAGTCCTGCGAACATGCACATGGTGCCTGCAAGCATGAACACGCGTCGCTGACATGGAAAAGGGAGCTATCGTGTACTTCCGAAGGCATATCCCAAAGCGGTGAGTCGCAAAAACCTGCACACTATAAAAGAGGATCCAGGCAAAATCCTGGACTACCCGAGAGGCTTTCGTGACAACCAGTTGGGCCTTCAAAAGATCGTTTCTGAAAGTGGGGTCCGCAAAGGGTTTTTTGGGGTCAAATTGGGATGTTCCCTTATACTAACAGCTTCTTAATAGGGATTATTGGTACCTCCCCTATTATAATCTTTATTGAGGACTGTTAGTGTGGGGGGCCCAAGATTCGTTAGCACAAGGGGCCCAAGATTCGAAGATGTTCGGAGTTCCCCCAATCCTCCAAACCCGGGAAGCAAGTAATGTGGGGCGTGCTTTAGCAGGGACCCGTTTGGGTTTAGGGTTTAGGGTTTAGGGTTTTAGGGTTTACGGTTTAGGGTTTTAGGGTTTAGGGTTTAGGGTTGAGGGTTGAGGGTTGAGGGTTTAGGGTTTTGTGGTTGTGGGATTTGGGTTTAGGGTTCAGGGTTTAGGGTTTAGGGTTCAGGGTTTAGGGTTTAGGGTTTAGGGTTTTGGGTTTTGGGTTTTGGGTGTAGGGTGTAGGGTGTAGGGTTTAGGGTTTAGGGTTTAGGGTTTAGGGTTTAGGGTTTAGGGTTTAGGGTTTAGGGTTTAGGGTTTAGGGTTTAGGGTTTAGGGTTTAGGGTTTACCCTGTGACTGTTTGGGGGTTTACGGTCAAGCGATGCCCTGGCCTGTTGGCTTAAAGTCTTGAAGCCTAACCTCCAACAATGGGCACGGTTTCTGGACCCCTGCGGGGAACTCGAAACTTCTAAGCCCTGGGCTCTTGGCCCAAAGGCCAAGCCTTTGAATCTGAAAGGCAGGCCTCCCTTCCAAGACCCCGAAAATCCCGGAATCCCAACTGAGCTGAAACCAACACTTCCTTTCAAAGCATCAATCCGTGCGGCAACGGGAGGCAGGTCCCGGGCAACCAAAGGCGGGTTTAGGGTTTGGGGCTTTAGGGTTTCTGGGGCACAAGCTGCATGAACCGAGCCCACACCTTCTGAGCAGGAGCCTGAAAGCTTGGTTTAGGGTATAGGGTTTAGAGTTTAGGGTTTAGGGTTTAGGGTTTAGGGTTTAGGGCTCAGGGTTCAGGGTTTAGGGTTTAGGGTTTAGGGGCTAAGAACACGCAACAAGTCCTGCCTGACACCTCTGCTCGGCTTCTTGCCTTTCGGTAGCTGCCTTTTGGAGGTCCTGGACAAGGGGGCGCAGGGGAAAAGGGGCGCCAAGAGTGGCTTCGCACAGCACTAAAGCCCAAAGGCTCGAGTTGACCTTAAGAGCTCAGACGTCCTCAAAACCCGCCCTAAACTATCCTGAACCCGAGGCCCACAGGCAGTCCGAGACGATACTGCTTTCCACAACTCTCAGCTCCTTCTGCCTGGCAGAACTTTAGGGTTTTTTCGGTTTGGGTGCGCCGAGGGGGCTCGGCTTCACGAGTGGGCTTCGGCTGCAGCTGCGAGATTACCAAGACTCAAGACCTCGGGTAGCTACCTCATTGTTTGAGGCACTACTTGGAGGTTCATGAGGGGGGGGGGGCCGGGTGGGGGGTACTTATTAACCCAAGTATAACTGAACACCGAACCCTTTTGATCGCCACCTTCGGCTACTTAAGGAGTTTTTGTTGTGGGTTGTAAGACCACGCTTATCACTGCCCTGAACCTTCCAGTGCTAGGAGTCCCAGTCCCAGCGTCAAAGGGCCTCCGCTCATCATGGATCTCTTCGGACACGCGCAGGGCGTGTAGGCCTTCTGACTCGGTGTTCGTTTAGGGTTTAGGGTTTAGGGTTTAGGGTTTTGTGGTTGTGGGTTTAGGGTTTAGGGTTTAGGGTTTAGGGTTTAGGGTTTAGGGTTTAGGGTTTAGGGTTTAGGGTTTAGGGTTTAGGATTTAGGGTTTAGGGTTTAGGGTTTAGGGTTAACAAAAACCAGAAAATCAACGCCCATGCGTGCAATCGGACTTTCCAGTTTCCAGGGCCCTGCCAGGTCACGTGTCTGGAAGTTTCCCAAGGGCAAGAACAGATTGCCCCAAAGCGCAACCCTGGAAATCAAAGAGCCCCAAGCTGCAATCCCTCAAACCCCTCAACCCCCAAACCCAGAAGCCTGAACAGAAGGACTCGAACCTAGCCCAGCTATAGATGTCAGGCGTCCCCAGCAAGGCCCAGAATCAGGCCTCTCCAATCAATTGAAAAGAGAAACTATAAATCGTTGCAAATTCAAAGCCCTAAGCTCCCTAAGCTCCCTAAGCTCCCTAAGCCCCCTAAGCTCCCTAAGCTCCCTAAGCTCCCTAAGCTCCCTAACCTCCCTAAGCTCCCTAAGCTCCCTAACCTCCCTAATCTCCCTAACCTCCCTAACCTCCCTAACCTCCCTAACCTCCCTAACCTCCCTAACCTCCCTAACCTCCCTAACCTCCCTAACCTCCCTAACCTCCCTAACCTAACCTCCCTAACCTCCCTAACCTCCCTAACCTCCCTAACCTCCCTAACCTCCCTAACCTCCCTAACCTCCCTAACCTCCCTAACCTCCCTAACCTCCCTAACCTCCCTAACCTCCCCAACCTCCCCAATCTCCCTAACCTCCCTAACCTCCCTAACCTCCCTAACCTCCCTAACCTCCCTAACCTCCCTAACCTCCCTAGCCTCCTTAGCCTCCCTAGCCTCCCTAGCCTCCCTAGCCTCCCTAACCTCCCTAACCTCCCTAACCTCCCTAACCTCCCTAACCTCCCTAACCTCCCTAACCTCCCTAACCTCCCTAACCTCCCTAAACCCTAAACCCTAGCCCTAGCCCTAGCCCTGGCCTTCTTGTAGCCTTCTCACCTGCTCGTAAAGGGTCTGAATCCGAGAGCTTTCCCCCTGGCGAAGAGCAGCAGCACCCCAGCGCAGTTTGGTGTTTAGAGAGTTTGGGGGGTTGGAGTGTGAAGGTTTAGGGTTTAGGGTTTGGCGTTCAGAGTTTGAAGACTTTTGGCTTAGGTTTGAGGTTGGCTTGCAGCTCGAGCATGTAGGATCTGAGGTTTAGAGCTTGAGATCTCAGGCTTCGGGCGCCGGGGCTTAGGGGGTTTAGGGTTTAGGGCTTGGGTTCAGAGTTTGAGGATTCAGGATTTTGGTATGGGGCTTGGGCTTTAGGAGCTTGAGGATGTCGGGTCTAGGCTTTGGGGCTCAGGGGTGAGTCTAGAGTTTGAGGACTTTGGGTTTAGAGCTTGGGGGTGAAGAGTTTGAGGACTTAGGTTTGGAGTTGGGATCTTCCCCCTTATACTAACAGTCCTTCATAGGGACTATAGTCGGTACGGTACGATCATCCCTATAACGGAGCTGTTAGTATAAGGGGAAAAATCCCCCAAACTTGGCACAACAAAAGTCCTAAACCCTGAGCTTGCAACCCTAAACCTTATAAACCCCAGACCTTATGAACCCTACACCCTAAACCCTACACCCTAAACCCTGAGCCCTGAGCCCTGAGCCCCGAACCCTGGACATGACAAGCAGCCAGGCAAGAAACCTCGCACTCAGATTTCAGCATCCGATCCTGTCTGCTGTTTTTTGGGCGCATTAAGCTTCGCTTTTGGCGAAGGAAAACGAGGGGTAGCTGCGTGGACATCCAAGGTTCTAAAGTCGAATTAGGGAATAAGTTGAGCAGGACCTGAACAACGCTGGGCGAAGGCCCCCCAGCTTGTTTTTTCGAAGGTTCTCGCTCTTCGGATAAGCCCGCAGCAAGTCCAACAAGCGCGGGCCTCCGGGGACCTCCAGTCCTCAAAATGAAACAGCATGAGCTTCTCAAGGGTTATCATGTCCTTATCGATGTTCTGCGCGGCCATCGGCCGGTCAAAATGGGTCCGGTTCCTGTCCTGCTAGGCACCTTAAAGATGGTCCTCGCCTCTTCTCTGACAATCCGAGCGAGGCCCAAGAAGGGTCCTTAACTGGCTCGAACTGGAAAACCAATTTCTGAGCTCGTCAAAGAGAATCTCTTTGAAGCCTGTTACTTCATAGACTTTGTCGACTTTGAATGTGCAGGAGGCTGTCCCACGAGGCCCTACACTGACTCATAAGTCATGACAGGCCTCCTGCAGCTTACTCAAGTCTTGAGATCACCGACGAGTCATGCTCCCACCCCGCCACCAAGGTTGCAGTCGTCTTCATCCCCTCCCCCCCACTATTCACAAAAACTCCATATGAGTGGCCCCATGGCACAACAGATCCGAGTTATACCTACTCGGCGCCCCTTTTGGGAGGGCAGGGGAGGTTAGGGTTAGGGGAAGGGGAACAGTATTTAGGGCTCCAGGAGCTGTTTGGCTACAGTAGGGCCCCCAAAATACGTTTCGTTGCAGCCGCTGCGCGAAAGGAGCACCGCTCTGCTCTGTGCGGCCGACGCTCCGCACCGAAGTGAAACGCCGGCAGGTTCGATTCGGCTGCGTCATCTTTGGGCTTAGGGTTTAGGGTTTAGGGCTTAGCGTTTAGGGCTTAGGGTTAAGGGTTTAGGGTTTAGGGTTTAGGGTTTAGGGTTTAGGGTTTAGGGTTTAGGGTTTAGGGTTTAGGGTTAGGGCTTAGGGTTTAGGGTTTAGGGTTTAGGGTTTAGGGTTTAGGGTTTAGGGTTTAGGGTTTAGGGTTTAGGGTTTAGGGTTTAGGGTTTAGGGTTTAGGGTTTAGGGTTTAGGGAAGCAGAGGAAGCAGAAGCAGCGACGTCGAAGCTGCCGAGAAATTTCAGCGATATCGCGGGCATTGAGAAGAGAAACGGCTGGGAGCATCAATCAAGCAGACAATCAGTGGCAATGGTCTTGTCCAGTCTCAACGCCCTGGATCCGTCGAACGCAAGAGCGGTCAAAGGACCAAAGGAGTTCACTCGAGCTTTGCTACCACCCTTCCCTGCCTGTGCGCAAGCTTGGACAGTTTATGGGCTCGCCGAACTACAGGCGATGTCTCCGGAACACCAGCTTAAGCTTACTTTGAAGAGTTACTCCCAGCTGTCTGGGCAAAAGAGAGCCACGCAAATCCAGCACAGAGTGTCGAAATTTCGCAAGCAGGTGCTTGCAAATTTGCTGGCTGATCTTTTGAATGGTGTTCCGGACACTCAAAAATCGATGCTTGCTCCTGGTGTCGTGCATGGCGCCAGGCTAGTTAACACAACTGCATGACTACGGCCGATCATGTGCTGTTCTCACAAAGTAGCCTCAAACTAGCCCTGCCACATGGGACACCAAAGCAATCCAAGGCCACTCGCGGGTCGGCCTGTCAGAATTCCTCGCCAATCATCAAACCTGGGCTGTGAGCTCTGCTGAAGCGAAAATTCCGGGAAACGGGCCTGAAACCCCGGGGCCATGAGAGTCAAAGGTTCCCATACAAACCTCCTGTCTTTCCCTCCTCTAATCCCCTCCCTCGCACACCACGCCCCCCCCCCTCCCCTCTCTCGTCATTTTTTGGACATTCTTCATGGAGACGTGAGTTCAGGCGTTGGTATTTGGTTCCCTCCGCCTGACCTGAGCAAGGCCCAAATCAGAAAAGAAGATCGGCAAACGCAGTAGCCGAATCCAAAGACATGAACGACCCGCTCGGAAAACAAAGGGCCTCGGATCGGCAAACACAAGGGCTTAGGGTTTCTGGTTTAGGGTTTAAGGTTTAGGGTTTAGGGTTTAGGGTTTAGAGGGACCGGATCAGGAAACATGATCACAAGACGGGCCGCATCAGAGACCAGGCTCTGGCTGCCTGCTGCCAGAGCTTCTGAGCCAGGCAGCTGCGTCCGCAGACGGAACGCGCCTGTTTTCTGATCCGGGCTCAGATGTCTTCCGATCCGGGCCTTGTCGTTTGCTGATCCGAGCCCTCCCGTGTTCAACCGATCCTGTTTTGCCATCTGGGCCTCACTCGGCCTGACCTGCCTCGCTAAGGTTAACACAGGATTGAGCCGGGTTCAGCCACCGATCTCAGGAGCTTTCGGTTGTTGCCCTCCGCTGGGTCGAGGCGGTCGACACACCCCGCTGTACAACTACTCAGAAGTCGAAGGGTTTAGGGTTTAGGGTTTCGGGTTTAGGGTTTGTGTTGAGGAGCCCTTAAACATTCTTAGTGGTGAAGCTCCGGTTTAGGGTTTAGGGCGACGGCCCCTGGGTAAACCCCGCCAACTCCACTCCCAAATCCCACTCCCCCTCCCGCTTCCACTGAAAATACCACTGCCACTACTAACTACTCGATGACGAACTGCTTCTGCTGTCACTATCTGTCACTGCCACTCCCACGACCACTGCTGCAAGAACAACACACTTCCCTCTTTAGGTGAAGCTGGGGCCCTGCTCAACCGGGACTCGGGCTTCACATTTGCTTCTCGTGTTCAAAGATCTGCTGAACTGGAGATGGCCGCAACAAGCCATCAATGGTAATCCAAAATCCACTATGTGTGTGATGGGGTGGGCGACTGAACCATCACCCGCGTCTTGCTTCCGAGGGACGGTTACCGTGTCCTGGCCGACAGGAAGATGGCTTGCTTTTCAACAATCGTCTGGAGGTTCGGGCTTTGGCAGCCAGAGTTGGGCTTTTCCATGCACATCCGCACCGCATTTTGCTACAAGAAAAGCCTGACCACTTCCACCACATGGCCGACACATGCTCGGGACATACATGTTTTCGCCTTCGTCCCGATCAAGCCCCTCAAGCAGTTCGGTCCTCTTGTCCACGCTGGCTGGCCCGTAGGCAGCCCAGAGGAAAGGTGGGAAAGGACACTCGTCATCTGGAAACCTGGCATCCTGGCATCCACACACTGAGAAAGAAAATCTCATGCCGGACGACTAAGCACTGCTTCGTGCCGTGCCTGGGAGAGAATATCTGGCCTTTGAAGCCCCAACCCTTCATCCGAAAAATTGAAGAAAAACGAGGCAGAACTTTACCTTCTGGTGAACTCCGGGCGCGCCACTATGGAATTTAAAGCTTGGGGTTGAGGGTCGCACTTAGGGCTTAGGGCTTAGGGCTTAGGGTTTAGGGTTTAGGGTTTAGGGTTTAGGGTTTAGGGTTTAGGGTTTAGGGTTTAGGGTTTAGGGTTTAGGGGTTGAAGGTCGCACTGACGGGGTGCCTCCTCGTTGGAAGGCTCTGGAGACAATGAACCAAAATTGTTTGCCTGGAAGACCGGGCGCGATCGCTGGCTTTTGGCTCCCAAACCCCGACGCCTTCCACTCCGTAGGGTTTGGGTTTAGGGTTTAGGGTTTAGGGTTTAGGGCTTAGGGGTTTAGGGTTTAGGGCTTAGGGGTTTAGGGTTTAGGGTTCCTTGGACTTCAACAAAACAAACAACAATCAAGCCTAAACCCTACAACCTCCCAGCAGCCAGAGCCAGGCGGACCAGACCCATCAACTAAAGCATAGAGGCCCCACGAAGGAAAACAAGGAGCAACCCTAAATCCCAAACCCCAAACCCCAAACCCCAAACCCCTAACCCTTAACCCTTATCCCTTAACCCTTAACCCTTAACCCTTAACCCTTAACCCTTAACCCTTAACCCTTAACCCTTAACCCTTAACCCTTAACCCTTAACCCTTAACCCTTAACCCTTAACCCTTAACCCTTAACCCTTAACCCTAACCCTAACCCTAGACCGTTCCAGTCGGCCGCCCAGTCTGGTGATCGGATGGCAGCGGCAAAGTTTAGGGTTAGGGTTAAGGGTGCAGGGTTTAGGGTTTTGGGTTTAAGGTTTAGGGTTAGGGTTTAGGGTGTAGGGTTTCGAGTATAGTTCTAAGATTTAGGGTTTAGGGTTAGGGTTTGGGGTCTAGGGCTAGGGTGCTCAATGCAATGTCATGTCAGAAGGCTAGCACGCCAACACCAAGCCTGGCGAAGGGGCAGGCGAGACGTTGCCTTGCAATGTGGGATGGTGGAGTCCCAACTCCCAACATATGAAACACGAAAATTCTCAAACCCTGAGCCCGGACACTCTACAGGTCAAGGAAAGCAAGCGCCAAGCATTGGAAAAACCATGAACCCAAGCTCTCCCCGGACACCCTCAATCTCTCCAAACCCCGAGCGAGATGAGATGGGATACACAAAACAGTGCCTCCTCAGGCAAGCCGAACAACACATCGTCCGTCTCTTGCCCTGGACATCGGCGCGGAGGGGTCACCTCGGCCCGCAGCGGCGGCTCGTAAACAGGGCTTAGGGTTTAGGGTTTAGAGTTCAGGGTTCAGGGTTCAGGGTTTAGGGTTTAGGGTTTAGGGTTTAGGGTTCAGGGTTAGGATAACTTTGGGTTTCTGAGCATGAAAATCCGTGCTGCCGAGGCGCTGATCTTTCAGATCTACCCATTACCATGCTCGTATGGAGCTTTCCGGTGCCCGGCAACTCCTGGCAACTCGGGCATTTATACTGGAGATCAAAGGATTTTGAAGATTAGAAATATAAATTAAAAAAACAATATATATATATATATATATCTAGAGTATAATATTCAGAATATGAAGAATATAAATGATGCTGATGCTATTCCTGATATGAATGATATTAATAACATGAATAATATTCAGAATATCAATATTATTAATCTTATTCATAATATGAAAGAGTATTAATAATATGAACTATATTAACAGTATTAATAATATTAGTAGTATTTTGTAATACTATTAATACTGTTAATATTATGAATAGTTTGTTTTTAATACTATTAATTTATTAGTACGATTAATATTATGAGTTGTTTATCTTTTTAGTTTTATTTATTAGTATTATTCATGCTATTAATCTTAATAATATTATTAATATTATCAATATTATTGATATTATTAGTGTTTTTATTAATATTATTAATATTATTAATATTATTGATATTATCAATAAAAAATATATTGTTGTACTAATTAACCCTCCACAGAAACTTGGAGGCTTCCAAAACATCACCGAGTGCCTCCTCGATCACCCCCAGCGCCGGTCCAAAGCGCCTTGTCAGCATACATCTGCTGGAGGACGGCCTGAGCCGCTAAGAATCCTCGTAGACCCCTTTTCAAGTGCCAGGTTTAGGGTTTAGGGTTGATGGTTTAGGGTTTAGGGTTCTTAAGTTAGGGTTCGACTCTGATTTCTCTGCCCCCACTGGTTCCACATCTGATGGGAAGCTCATTACGACTGCACTAGGCTGGAGCAGCAAAGGCCCGCGACTGCAAATCACATGAACAGTGGCATGGAAACACTGGTGTCGAAAAACTAGGCGTCCGGCTTCTCACAAGCCTGATCCTGCATGGTCGCACTTCACGACTTGCACGTCTCTAGTCTCGATTGCACAAGTGGCCCTAAGCGGAGCTAGCTTCACTGGTACCAGCTTGGAGACAATGCTGGCTGTGGCACTGACTACCTGCCTACTTGGAGGTTCATGGTACTTATCAATGAACCAATGATAACTGTACTTATACCCACTTATAAGCCCCTCAAGTGCCCTAATATGGTTAGAAGCACAGATATATTTGGCTAAGAAGTACCATGAACCTCCAAGTAGCTAGGCATGCTGGGCACTTGCCTGCGGGCAGCCACTGACGATCTCGTTGGTGCCACCATGTGCCTTGAGCAAAACGGGATCGGATGCAGAACGGGCATACTTTGAATCCTAAAGCCTAAAGGGCCTAAACCCTAAACCCCAGACCCTTAAACCCCGAACCCTGAGCCGCCCAAACCCCAGGCCCTAAACCCTAGGAACCCTAAACCCTGAACGCCTGAAGAAGAAAAGCCCTAGAAACCCTAAGAACCTAAGAACCCTAGAACCCTAGAACCCTACGCCCTAAACCCTAAACCCGAACCCGGCCTTCACGTCCATCTTCGCCGTCCTGTACTGTGCCTTCCTCTGGCACTGCGTGGCACTCAGAGCCGATAAGAGCAACGGGGAAAGAGCGCCCCTCTCTCCTGGGCTTCCCTTTAAAAGAAAAGACAAGAGATTAGGGGTACAAGAGACGACGTCTGAATCCCTGATTCTTTTTTTGCGCGAAAGAATCGAGGTAGATAGCTCGCAGGCCGAGGGCGCGCCAGGGCTTGAGGTTTGGGGTCCAGATGGCTTTGAGGGGCACAATCTTCATGAGCTCAGGCTTAGGCTTAGGGTCGAACATGCTTCGACCCCTAAAAAAGTCTGAGGTATTGCAAACGGCTGCAGACTCCCGGCATCAGGGTGGTCAGCACTCCCCAGAGCACCCAGCGGCCTCTCGTGCCTGCCCAACGCGCTGCTCAAGAAGCACCACACGCTTCTCCACCTGCCATGGCGCGGCTGACGGTTCCGAGTCTTGGGGAAGCTTAGGGGGGTCTGTGTGGGCTATGGCCTGGGGGTTGGGAGCCCTTGGTGGCCAGAGTGATCCAAGGTGCTGTCAGGAACCTCAGGGATGCGCCGGAGACCCCGTTGTTCCCACCTCCGACGGCGCGCAGTGGGCGTAGGACTTCCTTGCCGAAGACAAGCCACCGCATGGGTCAGCTCTCGTGTTGCACTTGCAGCATCCCTAAAGCAAGAGAAGGTGCTGCAGTGCTCTGTCACTTCTGAGGCACGGCTTGCGAAACTACTTCTGCATCCCAACTGTAGCTGAAGTGGGAGCTGCAGCCAGGAAGCTCCAAGTGCAGCAACATTTCGCTGACGCTGTGTGTGCGTCGGGATGGTGCGTCCTGAATCACCGTGGTCACTGCTACATGCTCCCAGAGCACAACAAAAGGCAGCGCCGCCAAAATGCACAATCGCAACGTGTGCCGAAGGGCCTGAAGACTTTCTAGAAATTGAGCGGCGCGTGTTCCGCGGCCCCTTGCATACCCAGATAACAGCAAGAAGCTGCCGACAGGGGCTTTACCTGCACAAGCGTGATCTCCACAACTTAGCCCTGCACACCGGCTCAAGGACGGCCTTGCACCCGAGGCAGAGAACAAAAAGCGTACTCGTTCGAAGCAACACCGGCTCTGCTTACGCAAATCGGATGAAAACGATTGCAAACCGACTGTCGCGGAGCTGCCCTGCCTGTGCAGGATCGCGCAGCTCCGGTGAGAACCTGGGTGAGAACCTCTACATGACCAGCTTGGCAAGTGGGTCCCCTTGTAGAAACTCTGTTAATTTGAAGGCAGTGCTGTTGGCAGAAAGTCCCTGTTCCGAAAAACCTTCGGCATGCTCGGGAGGCTGTGAAAGCCCTCAGAGGCACCGACTTTGCACCGGGGGACGCCTGAGCGCGCCAGTTGCAACGCGCCATGCTTGCAGCCCTTTGCGAGGAAGCTCGGGTCTTGACAATTCCGCAATGTCTGCAAAAGGCCTCTTGCAATCTGGGCATGGTATCTGGCCATGTCATGCACAACCTCTGTTGCGACTCAGACTCAGGACTCTGCCCATCTTGCCAGGATCGTACTCCCACAGTTGGTGCACACCGCCTCTGCCTGACATCTGCACCGTTGTGGCAATTAAGACGAAGGTGTCTGCTAACAGGTGCCTCCACTGCAGCCATTCTCGCAGCATGAAGGACCCGGGGGGTGGGTATAAGTGACTAAGGAAATGGGCTAATGCTGTCGGTGTCTCAGCTTCCCATGTGAATAGATGTTGAAGAAACCGCAGGAAAACATCTGCATGCAGAACTGCTTCTTGCCTTCTTAAGGAATGACCAAGCCAACAGAATGGCTGAGCCCGGATAGTAGGCACATGAAAACAACGCCCCGCATCTTGGATTGGAGCATCTGCAGGCACAACCCTTCGGTGTGCTGTGGCTGCACTTGCAGTTTTGCAATTCTCTGTGAGCCTATTTAAGTCAACCAGCGGAAGAGACGCGACGATCACGTAGCAAGTCTTTGGCTGATCGTCAGATCACCCTCATCTGCGACTGGCCTGCACCCATAGTTCAGAGCCACAGGCATTTTGCAATTTTACAGATGTGCTCTATGAATCATGGCTACGACGGAAAGCATTCTTGATGAGCGTTCTGGTATCTGCCTGCGACAAGAACAATTTTGGGACTTCTCTCTCATTTTTGTTCTTGCTAGTCTCCCGTGTGCTTACTCCTTGATGCCACAGTTCTCCGTCACTGAAACATTGAGCGCCGACAAAAACTGTGCACTAGAAGCCACCGCCTGCGCCCGATGCGCAGGATGTTGCCTCAGGAGGCCTGGCCGAGAAAACTCTGCCATCTGCTGCGCTTTGCAGCGGTTTTGTGCTGGGTGCGCCTGGACCTCTTTCAGCTGCTGGCGCTGGTACTCCACAAATGCCTGTTAGGGGCCCAATCTGCTCCTAAGCACAAGCCCATGCACTGACTGAAGTCAGCTTGGGCGCATCAAACTGCTGGGTGAAGCGATTGTGGTACATGCCAGTGAGCTGCCTGGGCAGTGCAAGTTTTAGCAATGAGGTTTCGGCATTCTGCAGAGAATTCAGGATTCAGGATTCAGGCTTGTACGCCTTTGAGCTTTGGAAACAGGACATGGAAGGTGCATGTGTACGTGTATAAACATATATGTGCATACTTTCCATTACCGTAGCAATGATTTCAAAAGCCAAAACCGTGCTCATCATGTGGCTGTTAGTTCCCAGAATAACTGCCTGGGTATCTAAGTGCGTACTTACACTTGTCCAAGCTGCAGGGCGCCATCAAGCACGCCAGCATGAGCCTGCCCGTGCACTGTCGAGTCAGGGGCACTGCCCTGGACTTGGCTTAACGGGTTTAGGGTTCAGGGTTCAGGGCCTAGGGCTTTAGGATTGGAGGGCTTTGGCTTGGTTTTGGCTTGGTTTTTGCTTAGGCGTCTTGCTACATTTGGGGTCCCTTGCTGGCACCTCTGTATAAGATGTCCTTGTCGAATCGCCGTTGGGTAAGGCGGTTCGACTTGTCTTGGGGGGAGCCCGCAACTGCAAATGCTTTGTGTGGGTATTGCCTTAGAAACAGGGTCCCCCCTATGCACCCCAGAATACCATAGCCTTTACTACAGAAAACCCCCCCAAAACCCCGCAAAATGCTGTTCGCCCCATGAGCGCCCCAGGCACCGACCTGCATCAACGCGACCCGCTCCCATTCCTCCACAGTCTCATCCCGCAGCACGCCCAGCACAGCGGGCGGCTCGCCTGATGGTACCCCTATTATAATCCCTAGTAAGGACTGCGAGTATAAG